AACTACGGTCCATACATCCCCCTTGGAATAACCACTCTAAAATGGGGGACCCCCGGGTCCCACTAAACCATGTTTTTTAGACAGAATTTAGCTAGGTTTTTTTCTAGGGAGTTGGTACTTTCATTTTATAGTGACCCCAGGGGGGCAGGAAGATTTTGATTTTATAATATTAAATTCCATTTTATAGTGATGCCCTTTTTGGCATGACACTCATGTATGGGGGTTGGGTGTTCCCATTCTATAGAGTCAGGAGGTTTCAGGAAGTCATTCTTTTTGGGGGTTGGTAGCCTCCATTTTATAGTGATCATGGGTTGTAGTTGCATTGCTCAGTCTTCGCGTGCCGTTTCCTGCTATAGCATGGATGGCAATGGGAACCTGGGGGAGTGTTCCAAACCAGAGAAACATAAGAATGGAACAGAAAGGAATAGAGGACACACAAACCCACTTTCTCCATCCTACCCCAAAATACCCAGCTGGCCCAAAATACCCAGCTTTGTCGATACCCCTAAATACCCAGCTTGGAAAAAATCCTTTGGCTTTGGGACATGGGACAGCATGGGACCACTATAAAATGGAAAACTTTCTCCATCCTACCCTAAAATACCCAGCTGCCCCAAAAATACCCAGCTCTGTCGATACCCCTAAATGCCCAGCTTGGAGAAATCGTTTGGCTTTGGGACATGGGACAGCATGGGACCACTATAAAATGGAAGACTTTCTCCATCCCACCCTAAAATACCCAGCTGCCCCAAAAATACCCAGCTCTGTCGACACAACAAAATACCCAGCTTGGAGTCTTTTTGTCGACATCCCTTGGCTTCGGGACATGACAGCATTGCATGGGACCACTATAAAATAGACAACTTTCTCCATCCTATCCTGCCCGACAAGACCCAGCTGCCCCAGAATACCCAGGTCTGTCGATACCACAAAACACCCAGTTTGGAGTCTTTTTGTCGACATCCATGACAACATGGGACCACTATCAAATGGAAAACTTTCTCCAGCTTGCCCCAAAATACGCAACTGTCCCAAAATACCAATTTTTGTCGATACCACAAAATACCAAGCTTGGAATCTTTTTGTCGACATCCCTTGGTTTTTGGGACATGGGACAGCATGGGACCACTATAAAATGGAAAGCTATCTCCATCCCACCCAATAAAATACCCAGCTGCCCCAAAATACCCAGCTCCGTCGATACCAGTCTTTTTGTCAACATCCCTTGGCTTTTGGGACATGGGACAGCATGGGACCAATGGAAAACTACCAGAAAAATCAAGAAAATAAGTTTTGGTCTTTGTGTCAGCATCCCTTGGCTTTGGGACGTCCCGGGCTAAAGAAAAATGTGGTGTCTTTGGGGCGATGATGGTGGGAGGATGTGGGAAGGCTGCGGCACTATAAAATGGAAACCCCCAACCCCCAGAAAATCCTACCAGGAAGGGCATGTAATCTCTATAACATCAGAGCACCCAACCCCTCAAGAAACCATTCAATTTTGGATGTTCTAAAATTGAAGCTATATACAGGGGGTTGGGGGTTCCCATTCTATAGTAAAAGTTGACTATTTTCTTCATTTTAAGGCTAGGCTCCAGGGTACGTTGGGGCCTCCCATTTTATAGTGATGGAGGGTTTTGCAGTAAATTTGTAGCTGTAAATATTTGCTTTTTCAAATGAATTTCCTATTTTATAGAGGTGCACCTGTTTTGTGACCCTGGGTGTTTCCATTTTATAGAGGTCCCACTTTGGGGGGGATGGGTGCCCCCGTTTTAGTATTATAAAATGGGGGCACCCAACCCCTCCACTTAATCTAGAAGGGGATGTCCATACTATGTTTAAATATATACAGTATATAATAACATAATATATGATATATATATATATGTATGTCTGTATGTTATATATATATATATCCCCACGGATATCCCCCACGGGATCGCCACGTTTTCCCAGGCCGAAGAGGCGTTGGAGAAGGATCCCAAGTGCTTTTTGGCCGCCTGGGAGGGAGCCATCGCGGCCAAGCACATTGGTGCCTTGGCGAGTTCACCAGGAATGTTTGGCCTAGACTTGGGTGTCTGAAATGAGAGAGGGGGGAGATATAGATATACATATACTATATATATACTATATATATACTATATAGATATACATATACTATATATATATAGTATGTATATATATATATGTATGTATGCATGTATATATATTTTCCGAAAATTTGATGGGTATGCATGATCTTCCCTATTAAACATGGCCATCAGTTGAGCATATAGCCCAGTTTGGACAGACACATCTTGCTTTGGGGTTTGTTGTAATCATGTCAGATGCAATTAAGCCATGATTATCATGATTATCATGATTATCATGATTATAGATGTTATAGAACCTTGTATAGAACCTCAACTTTGACATGTTCCAGAATTTGCATGTTGCCTCATGTTTGTGAACCATTTCTTGATCGTTTCCTTTGCTCGTCTTTGCTGGTGTGCACCCCGTGGTGTGTGTTTTTTTTTCCCCATCAACACTTTCCATGGGATACCATGGGATGTCATAGGATATCATGGGATACCATCCGCCATAGGATACCCCAGGTGGTTTCCTGTGGATTTCCCCGTCGCAAAACCAATCCATTGCGACCGCCATAGGTTGGTGGAATAAGGGCCGGCAGTTGGCCAAGAAGGCCAACGGATCCATTGGGAAAAACTGGAATGGCTGGGAAAAATTCAGCACTTGGGGGTATATTCTCACCAGCTAAACTGAATAGATGTCTTAGCAAGATATTTAAGATTGGCATTGAATTGACCAAAACAAAACATGCAAGCTTCTTAGATGCAAATCTCATCTCTCAATCATGTATGGTATTTGGGTGTGGCTCAAAGAATTCTTTGTTTGAACCGTCTGAACCATTCCATTTTGGGATATTTTTGGCGTTTATCCCTGATTCTTAGTGGCCATATTAGTTATATCCTTCCTTCTTTTGGTTCCAATATGTTCCGATTGTCAGCAGTAAACCATGCTTCCAACAATTGTACAAAGGGAAAATATGAGACCCCCATGTTTCATGGTTCAAAGAGCACGTTTCCCGTTGATTTTGCCTCAAATCAATCCACAAATGAGCCGCTCTAAAAACCTCCCTTTACAATCTTTACATTTTCAGTAAGGGCCTTGTCATAACGGGTTTGGCGTAAGCAAAACCCTCACTTGCGTAAGGCCGCGTAAGGACTTCGCGTAAGGGTTTCCTCAATTTGCTTCGCGTAAGGAAAAAATCTACGCGCGTAAGCATGGCAGAAGCTTTGGCGTACCCAAAATGATACGACATAGGGAGTGACTGAAGGTTTTCATAATGGCTCAAATGCAGAAATATGGGGTTACATCATGTCACATCCACATGTTTCATCATGTTTCTTCGTGAAATTCACCATTTCTTCTTGGTCAAATCCTTCATTTGTTGTTGGCTAAATCCATTTTTTTTGTTAGTTCACGCGAGATGTTTGTTTGTACGGAATCCCCATGAACCATTTTTGTGAGTTAACATCACCATGTTTGTTGGAGTTGTTGGTTCAACATGTCAATTTTTGTTTGTTCAATTCCTTGGATGAATGTAGTGTCTGAAACATAGGGATATCATGATATACTCATGAGATATCCCATGATATCCCCAACATTTCACGAATCTTGGGAAAAACCCGACCCAAATCCCATGAATCACCGCCAGGCCATGCAGGCAGTGCCCCATGGGCCGCAGCACCGCGCGGAGCGGGAGACTGCACCTTGGATCGCCATATCAAAACAATGGGTTTTTGTTTAATGTTATACTGTTATACACAAGGTATATATATATATTATAAATAATGGTTATATATAATTTTAATATAATGGCACTATATTGTTAGATATATAGGATTATATAGGTATATACTTGTACATGTAATATTGAGGTTTTCTAAGTCGTGGAGGTACCCCCAAATCATCCAGTCATTGGACCCATTTTAGTATTGAACCCAATGGTGACTTGGGGATCCCCATTGTTTGAATTACCCATATATGGGTAGTTACAACAAGTTTGATTATACCGTTTCAACATATTCATATTATATTCCACTTATTAAACCATAACAATCATAGTTAGTACCTGTTGTAAGATATGCTATATATGGGCTACACGTGGTTATTTTTAGCCATACACAACGATTTCATACCTTTTGGGCTATGTGTGATTTCGTTTTATGTATATATTTGTGTGTAGATTAACGATGGGATGAACATATGTTTGGATAATAATTCAAACATATGAATGACTGGGAATATACCATAGTTATGATTTTTATAGCTGCAGTGAGTTGGATGAAAAAATAGAATCTAGTAGAATATCATCATCTGTTGGACATTCCTTAGGCTTCGCTGCGCCGGAGATTGTGACCGGGGGGGACCCTTAAGAAACGATCCGGTCGGTACGTTGGTTTGGATCGTTGTCGGAAAGCCCCATTCCAACCGACCTATAGCTTAGAACAGCATGGTCCCAACCACTTTGGTCTTTTGGGGGTAGCCCCAATTTTCAGACAAACCGATCTGGAGGATCATCTGGAGTTATCACTGGCTATGGATCAAAGAGATGCACCGCTCAAAAATGGATGATTACTGCAAAGCATGCGAAACATTATTCATAGGTGCCCTTTCTTTTTTAGGTTATGGTTATGGGTCAAAGACCAAACCGCAGATTTAGGCCCCCCTACAGCAAACCGATCAGCTGAGGCGAGCACACTCTTTCTCCTTATGGCGGAAGAAGAGCAAGAAGAGACCGCTGACCGCACGCATTTTCTTTTTGGGGGTCATCCCAGACAGCACGGCTAAAAGAAGTTCCACTTGGTGGACCATCGGCTTACTTCCCCCCAAGCAGCTCTTGACCATTTAACGCAGAAGGTTCGGGTCAGCTTTCTTTTGCCTTTGTCCGATGGGTGCCCTTTGAATGGTGCGTCCAGTCTTTCGATTGAGCCAAGGAAGCAAAGGAAGGCGCAGCGCTGCCACCGATCCATTGTACAGGGATGACTGTTCCACAAGGAAATCGTCCCAAAATGTTCCAACGGTTCATACAATGTCATTATATATATAATTATATATATATATATGATGATACTATATATCATATATATATACACGTATATATATATATATATATGTGTGTTGTAATATGTTGTATATTGTATATATATATATATGTAGTTATATATATATGCATAGAGGATGCTTTCTTTGTCAGGTCTTGGAGATGCAACAGAGCAAACAGCAAGCAGAGCCTGAAGTCGATGCCAAGGATGGGTCAACATTGGTAAAACAGCGAAAGTTTGGGTGATTTTTGATATTTTTCCATGAGATTGTGATGGTTTAGCTGGTGATTCTATATATTATTCGATATATTATTCTTAGCTGATCACTGGAATTTTGAAGATCCGACCTGAAAAGCGGCCAGCGGCGAAAGGAGGTGGAATGGGCTCGAGGGGTTGCCATTCAGCTGAATGAGGTGCAGAATGGAGTGGTGTTCGTGCTGATAGGATCTGATAGGTGTTAACACAACTATGAGACAACTCTACTAAGCACAAAATATCAGATGTCTATAGATGTCACATCAGACATGCATACGGCTAACAAAAAACACTTTGTTTAAACCCCATTTATTTACCACCAATTCATGGCCATTTACGGAAACTATGATCATAAGTTGTACTGGTATCCACATTTTCCGAGAAATCCACAATTCCATTCACAGGCTCTTAAGGCTGAAGATTTCAAGAGTCTGGGCCTTGGAGACCTTTGTGACAAAGACAGAGAAACCAAGAGTGTGGGTTTGATGGGAAAAAAATATAGGGAACGCCTCTGTAAAGTTGAGACATGTTTATGGTCAAAACCACACCCAACCCCTCGGAGCTTTCAGATTGAGGTTCCAAGACCCCTCAAGGAGGGTTTTGCCACGGTTTCAAACCGAAACCAACTGAAGTAACCCAGTGAGAGAGACCTAAACTGTGCAGGATTTCCACGCAGATCCCTAGAGTCAGCACGCTGTCTTCACGTCAGAAACAACCCAGGGCCGCATCATCAGATCTGGAAGCTCATCGGACCCGGTCTCAAAAAGAAGGCCTGCCAAGTGGCCTGGTTCCAGTGATCGTTGCTGGAATTGCTGGGCTGCACTAGATCACTACGTGTTTCAGGAAAGATATGAGTTCCACTTCTGGCTTTTGCCGGGTTTGGAACATGGACTTGGTATTTCCTTGGGGTCTCTAGGTCCAACACTGAGTTGCCAGCCACAGTTCCTCTGGGTGAGCCAGGACGCAGATATGCTCTTTAGCGAGATCCGACAGCTGGTTTGGGAAAAGTGGGAGCCTCAGTCGGTCAAAGTCAGATGCCGTTGCTGCTGCTGCTGATGATGGTGGTGGTGATGATGATGGTTATGGTAGAGGTACACTGATGATGCTGATGATGCTGACAGTGGTGGTGGTGGTGGCAACTAGGACGAAGTGTAGAAGAAAAGTCGTCTTGCGCATAACCGGAGATCATGTCTTTGACGCCAAGAAGACGAGTGAAAGCTTTTTTTTGGGATGAATTTCAAACACATTTTCATGATTGCTCCAATCCATTGTATGTAAATTATAGCCACAAGAGAGGGAAATTGGTCAACCAAAACCACTTTATCAACCAAGTTTCCCCCCCTTGATTTTCATAGAGAAATCGTATCATTTCCGGTGAGATCCATACGAGGTGACCGGTCTCTAATTGGGACCGGAGATGTCTCACCAAGGTGGAACCCCATTGCCTGGCAGCATGGCTATCGCACCTCCTGGGATACCTTGGCCAGGCAGTGACCGCAGAAATGTGTGGAACAAGGGGGGTACTCCCCAAATAGTCATTTCATCTGATACTTAAATGCTATCCCCCCAATTAAACAACCGTAAACGGGGTTTATTCATCCAGGGTTGACATTACACTGAACGTTTCAAAACCATGTTTTGTGGCTCAGTTTCTCGGCTCAATCTTGACTGACTCATTCCCAAGTTGATGTTCAAGATACTGGAAAAGTACAGCTAGGAGCTCTTCATCGAATCGGTTTGCTGGTACCATGCTGAATTTCGCCAGATACTGACTGTGTGGAGTTTCGGAATCCTGTGGGCACCTGTGGGAAGTTTCATATGTGGTTCAAAGGGATGGGTGGTTTCAATTCCAACAAGAGTACACAATAGAGTTACTTTTAATATCCTTGAAGTCTCTAGGATCTGACAGCATGACTACTGCTGTGTGGGATTTGAAGACCCATGGCATCAAATTCTTCCAGAGTTGCAATTTCAAGGGCACCACATAACAAACATCCTACATCCACCTGCTATTCTCTGCAGGAAAAGCTTTTGTGCCCGTGTGGTGGACGTCGCAAACGCCGACGTGGCTGAGGTGGGATGGACTCCATGAGTCTGACCTTTGTGAAACTTGTTCACAGTAGGCATGAACTCTTTCATGTCGGTTTCTGTAGTGTATATATATATATAGTTGTGTATATTCATCATTATTCATCATTATTCATCATTATTCATCATTATTCATCATTATTCATCATTATTCATCATTATTCATCATTATTCATCATTATTCATCATTATTCATCATTATTCATCATTATTCATCTATATTCCTACACTTGTACCTGCATCTGCAATCCTGAAGACATGGCAGGTCGTTGCCCTTTCGCCTCCGTAATTCCCTTTAAAGATCTTCAGCCTTTTGTAGCTGCAGTTCAAAAGACATTGAGATCATATGAGGTGATATTTCATGATATATTTTGTGAAATTCCCACATGGGTAACCACATACCGGAGTTCGACCCTCAGGTGAAGGCCTTGGTAAGAGAAATGGAGGCCGGAGAGCTACATTTGGGGGATTTAACCATTAACACTGGTGATTTAATGGGGAATAATGGGGATTAATTATGTAATCATGGTTGTACCAGATGAGGGTTTTGACCATACCCCGCCCAATGTCGACCCCAATCACGACATTAGCCGAAGTCACTCCTTGGATTCCTAACATATTCCTGCTTCATCGTTCTTTTGCTCAATTTCAGAGATCCCAGGAAGAAGCAAAACCTTGGACCATTGCTGTAGACCATGGATGACCATGGGCCAGGATCGAACGTGTTTGGAGTGGCCAGACATTGCCGAAGCGGTCGAGAAGATCAAGTGCCGGAATGGGGTCATTGGCCGTCATCTCATGGGGCTGGTGGCGGCTGGTGGGTGTAGCCTTGTCACAGCACGGGTACGGAATGCAATTTACAGATGTTGAAAAATGGAATTAGAGGACGTATATGAGGACATCCAAAAGACGGCCCAGCTGATGTCAAGGATTTTCCGAACAGGTGGTTGAAACATGTTAAAACCATCCAATGCAGGCAACTAGTTCAAATACATGCAAATATCGACTCAACTATCTGGAATGATTTTGAGTTATCTACCAGCTTCGACCCTCGTCCCCCAAAGAAATCAACCTCAGGTACGACGAGACTTGGGCCTACACGAAGCGCGAGGATGGTACCTGGGGAACGTCCGCAGCCCAGAGATCCAATGGCTTTCACCCCAAATGATCCGCAGCCCATGGGGGGTCAATGGATGTCAATGGGGTCCTTCCAACTGGGATACATCCATTGGGATGGGGATCATAACTGGGTTGTTCCAGGTTGTTCCAGTATGATTTCCATCGGCGGCACACAGAAATCTGTTTCTAGCGCCCTGATTGAATCCTTCACTTTCACTTATGTAGATGAACCATCGAGTTAGTTCATTGCTTCATAAGTGCGTATAGTTCTATCCCCTTCTACCCCATTTATCATGGCTTATAACATATTATAACATATTACAACATGTTCTAAGCCACATATGAACTACCGTGAACTACCGTGAACTACTGTGAACTACCGCAACATCCATGGCCCACGCTTGTTGCAGGTGGAACGGGCCAACCTCCTTGTGAGTGCCCTCCACAGGGCGTCAGGCTCGGCATCCGCAGGCTGCGTGCCTCTGCCCCGGTGGTGCCGTGCAGAGAAAAACGAGCGACGAGCTTCGGAGCTCCACTGGTCCACTGGACATCACCCTCTATATGGCTATGGATCAATACCTATTAATACCATTTTTAGGGATCAATATTAATCATCAATAGATGATCATTATTAATATTTGGATAGGTAAACCATCTATTGATCAATATCAATATCTATATGGGGTTTGTCTGAAAATGGGGTATACCCCCAATATCCCCCAATGAAATAGCCATAAAAAGTAGGGATAATGATCAGCAAAACCATTGGGTTTTTTGGGCTACACGACATTTTCAGACAAACCCATATGGAGGTTTCCATAAATAGGGGATCTCCAAAATTGATGGGTGGACAATTGACAATTCTCTTAAAATGGATGATTTGGGGATATTTGGGGGTAGCTCCATATTTGGGGGTAGCTCCATGTTCGGAAACCCCCATATGGAGGATTTTGGCAGCTCATCTAATTGCAGCCTTGTTGGGTGGTCAATCCAAAGCCTATCACGGTGGATATTACCACTATACTTGGGATGAACATCTCTCAGATCACGAACACTTTTGGGATGTAAACCTGTGTATACATATATCTATATCTATATCTCTATCTCTATCTCTATCTATCTATCTATCAATCAATTATCTATCTATCTATCAATTATCTATCTATCTATCTGTCTATCTATCTATCTATCTGTCTGTCTATCTATCTATCTGTCTATCTATCTATCTGTCTATCTATCTATCTATCTATCTGTCTGTCTATCTATCTATCTATCTATCTGATTATTTCACATTATATCACACTTGCTTTTGTAACAACCCACTGTCAGCTCATTTTTTTCCGCACCAGGAGTCGGAGCTTCCGTTGTTGAACAGCATTCCAGACGCGGACGCCTGAGACCTGCCATTGATTTCAGCTGGGTCAAAATCTCAGGTGCTCTTAATGGGCACAGATGGAGTGGCCGCAGATACCTTTGGATTTTGGATGAATCATGATGAATCTGGGTCGGTTCTTGTTTGCATTTATCCAATACTTAAGTGTTTGTGTTGTGAGTACGTACCCAATTTTGACTCAGACCCATTGACTCAGACCTCGCGTAGCACCAGCGGAAGAAAGATAACCTGCAAGACACTGGATCCTCTATGAGTAGACCCAAACCTGGGAGGACGAGGAAATAAAATCTCAGTTTTGGGTGGTTTTGAGAGGATATAAGTACAGACAATGTGAAACCTCGCGTGAATCTTTGCCCATGCTGCATCACCCTGAAATGCTTGAGTTGGCTCAAGCTGCAAGTAGGAATATTGAATAATTATTACCTACCCGTTTTGGTTGCAGCAAATGGCGGCCCCAGGAAACAAGTGCTTTGGCCTTTCTCGGGGCAGATGGAGATTCCACAACAATCAGATGATTCAACCCCTAAATCAGTGTGTCATTACCCTTTGGCAGTTGGTACCTATGGCAGCAAAAGTCAACCTTTTAAGCGGCACTCGAGCCGCACCTACCAATGTCACCAATGTCACCAATGTCACCAATGATTGCTGTTCCTTCGGGATCATTGATCACTTGTCTGATGCAACGCCTCGTTTTTATCCATTGAGTATGGTCCAGTACTGGTTTTGTATGGTTTTGTTGGCTCTATCTCCACTTGAGCTTAGCATATCCGTGCCTAGCAGCCCAGGTTCTGGGGGGGCGCAAGCTCCTCAGAGTCCGATTCCGACTCCGGATCCTCCGACAGCGAGGAGGTCGCGCGTTTACCTGGCAGGGTTGGTTCCCCGGAAAAAGGGGTTGGTTATCTATCCATGAATTTGGATGAATTTTTGGTATTTTCACGTGAGTGAATTATTAGAATTCAGGGATGGCCATACCCCACCATGTTTTGACCATGATATTGAGCATTGACATTTTGGGGATAGGCCATAAACTGACATTTTGAGCATCATCCATGAGAATAATGAGATATGTAAAGCATAATTGGTTTCAGAATTTTGAAACATACCCTTTTGTGACCATCTTGTTGTAGCTGATAATCCCCAAGGCTGGGCCAGAGTTGGTCATAATTTTTCAGGTAGTTTGAGTATGTTGTCATCGCAAGTCTGGACCATTCCCCACTTGGATGGGACTTCCAGTTGGAGCCCAGCTTGGTCTCCTTTGAAATGGATCCATGGGAAGGTGTAGAGGTTACATCCCCGATGGAAAAACTATGAAAAACTCACCATTCTAGGATCAATCCTAGTTTTTCGTGGGTAACACTCACCATGTCACCATATTCTTAGGTCAAATCCTCACTTTTCTTAGATGACAATTGTTCTTGGACAAAACCCTTACCCTCTGGTAATTTAACATGGCTATGGCAATTCACCATTTTACAATTAGTTAGGTATTTTTAATAGGTAAAACATGATAAAACATGTGTAAACGGGCCGAAATAACCATAGCTATGTCAAATAACCAGAGGATCATCCATGTTAATCCCAGTATGAATAACTATTATATAACCACTATTATTGGGTATCGGTATAATCCATCATTATTAATGGACATGAATGGCTTGTTAAATAACAAGAGCTTTTTTTTTCTTTGATCCCCGGGTTAAAGTAACAATCCATTAATGTCCACTAACGATGGTGGTTCATATCCATTAATGGCTTGTGACTTGTGAAATAAACACTATGGATACCAAATGGACTGTGAATATATATATATATATGAATACATATACATATATATATTTATATGTGCTAATCTCCATGAATCGATATAGTTCATATAACCATTTACCATGGTTATCCCATGGTTATCCCATGATTATCCCATGATTAAACCAGCCAGGAGCGGCCCGTGGTGGCCGCCGCAGCGCCTCGAAAGATGGCGCGCTGGGCTGAGGCCTCCTCCAGTGAAGATGAAGGCAGGGGACTTATCGCGGATGATATGTATCGTAGGTAGTATCTATGTAGGTATATAAATGTATGTGTATATATATAGAGGCTATATAGGTATCTATCTATCTATCTATCTATCTATCTATGTATATCTATATATGTATATCTATATGTATATGTATATATATGTGTATATATATGTATATATATATAGGTGTATATATATATATGTATATATATATGTATATGTATATATATACGTATATGTATATATATGTAGAATGGCATATTGTATTTGTTTATATCTATAATTCTAGTAGTGTATATATTTATATAGATATACATACAGTATATGAAATAATGGTGTATTCATGGAAGTCAGGAAATATGGAACATATATACATACGCGCATATATATATGATCTACAATGGTGTATATAATGTAGGACTATAATTGTATATATATATATATATAGATATGACCATTCCTTTACATGCGCAATATAATATATATATATGGTATATTCTGATGGTATCATTAAGATGCATCATATATATATACAACATATAATCAATATAATGCTATCATTTTGATAGTTTTTTTTTTCAGATGTTTATGATGATATGGTTATGATAGGGCAATTGCAGTAATTATCACGATATGGGTTACATATGATGATAGGGGTTTGATGGATCATGGTGCATATATGAATGTAATTATATAATACGATTTATAAACTCTTTACAACGGAAATTAACTTGGGCTCATTCATATGTTTCTTTTATTATGACATTATAACCCCATACCATGAATAAAGCTTGACTATTTCATAGCCATATATTTAGTTGCATCACAGGGTTGTTATAACGTGGTTGTACCGGTGTAGCTATATGGAACAATGTGGCATAATGGCGTGTAATGGTATTTTTTTTCTGCAGATAGAACTCGGATGAGAATTGGATTCCTCCACATCAGTGTCACCTCCCAGATGGAGAACATCATCAATACATTTTTTGGTGTTTCCAGATTGGAATGCCCCATATTTTCTCCATTAAATACGACCAACAACTTGGATGATTTTTTCAAAACTCCCGGTGAAAAACTCCAGTGATTTTTTGCAAAGGTCATTCTCTGTGGATCTTTACTGTATTCAATTGTTTATTCCATTTTGATCCATGTTCCATGGTTGTTTTGGACTGGTCACACAGTAGAAGTTGGGGGTGCGGAGGAGTCGGGATGGTTAACATCACTACTGATTAATAACTAGCGAAGGAACTCCGCTACCCCCAAAGATCAATAGGGGTTGAAGGATACTTCTACAGTACGCCATTTTTGAGGACAACAACTTTTATAACCACTGAGTATTCAGCACGATTAAAGTAGCAAACCACCATAAACCATTCACTTTTTGGTTGGTTAAGAATTATTTGGAAGCACACTATCAATTTTAGGGATTTATGAATAGTGAAATATAGGAGTTCATCATGCTTTATGTAGTACTCAAGCATCCATTTTTTCGAGGGCGATCATTTTGAACCATAGATGTGCGGAGGGAGCACAACGGTTGGCAGTTTCAAAGATTCGCTCCAACAACGACACGGACTTCACCAACTACAATCAGTACATTCAGTACATTTGGATATCCACCAGAAATTGGTTCATGGTTCCAGATATGTTTGATTTTCCATCTCCAGCATATGAAATGATCTGGATTTGGTATCCTTTCCCTAGGATTACCAATCTTGAGATAGAGAAGAATCACAAAGATTTGGGCGGCAGTTTTGCGAAACACAGCTTTAACTTTAGTGCGCATGAATCACACATGGTCACAAGAGCAATCTTGCCTATTGAATGTCGAGGTTCCTAGCCCTTTCCCGCTTGAAGGGTGCAGAAGTGATAATACTTGAACTTGCGTTCCTCCGCACTCGACACTTTCTGGCGTTGACCCTATCATCGCCTCTGATGTCAAAACAACAGTGAAGACCACTTTGAGCTCAAAATTGCGATCGCATTTTTGTTGGTTGTCTCCCCAGGTTTATATATTTGTTTACACGCTCTCTTTCCCTCAAGAAGCGTCTTTCATCGTTTGGATTTCTGCAGGTGTTGCACAGCGCCGAGTAGTCCGATCACACACGGACAAAAAGAACGAGCAGATGTTAGAACAGATCAAGGTTATGAAGAACCACATGTGCCCTGGCCTGGTGGCTTCTGAGGGGCTGGTGGGATGTTGGATGATGTTGGGATGTTGACCCGGGGACACGGTTGTGTGCGTTCTAAGTCTTAGTGAGAAGACCAAAGGAGCATTTGGGGGTTGAAAGAAATCACATTTGGACAGGGTTCATGGACATGCTAGGAACTTTTTTGAAAGGTCCATTCGTACTGTGTTTCACATATCCTCAACCTTGGCAAGGTACTGGAAGTGGTCGGCGCCACTGGATCCACCATGGTCTCGTACATTTTGCCAGGAATCATCTATGTTGGGGATTTCAATCCATTTTCAGAAGTTGACGGGCAATACTCCGTCTGCCAAATCACTTTGGCTCAAGCTGAAAATCTGAGTTCAGCCGCCTTTGCGTGGTCATCAGCCGTATCCAGAGATCGGCTAACCGCCATTGCGCTTTCCTTTTTGTGCGGCTGGCTTCTGGTTCATTGGTGCTGCTGCTGCCGCTGCTGCTGATTGAGTGTCTCCTTTGCGCTGCTCTTTCCATCACCATTGCCTAGCTTTCGAGCAGGAACTGCCTCTTCTGTTTCTTGGCGTTGCAGCATCAGTGCATGAGCGAGGACGGGCTGCGCAGGGCAAACAAACGTGGTGGCAAAAAGGTACAGAAAAAGCGTAAGCTCTGGGAACAAGTTGAAGCCGGGCAACATACCCCTCAAACAAAGACTGAAGTTCGCCCCATTCATTTGGAGGGTGAGGCATCTTCAGGTGCTAGGTCTAGCTCAGCTGTTTCGGTTTCTAAGATTAGCACTTCTGTTGTGGCAGTTTCCAAAACCACTGAAAGCGGGGTGTATATCAACGATCCAGTGTCGAGCTTTCCTCCTCCATTGCCGCAGCAAGTTGCAGTGGGGGGATCATCTAGTGGTTGTAGGCCGTTGCTTAGCCATCCCTTGCCTCCACCACCAGGTCCGTCACCCGCAGTTGCTACTCCAGTTAGTCTTCCTAGTCCTTTGGTTGAAAGTTCATCCGGAGACCATTTGGCCCCTGAAGCTGTGAAGGCTAAATTTGAGGGAACCCCCAAAACTGTTGAGGCACAGGTCTTAGGAAAGGCGTTGCCGGGTCAAAGCCGTGTAGAACCCCCTCCAAACTCAAAGGTTAAAGTTTCTGTTGAAAAGAGCTCATCTTTGGTTGTAGCTAAGGGTAACAGGTCTGGTCTGCCGGTGCCCATCCCCAAAGTGGTTAGTGCGGTTATCGGTGGTAGTAAACAGGAAGCCTGGTTGAGTGTGGATTTCAACGGCGTTTGTAACATCCCAGAGAGTGGTGACCGTGAATCTGAAGGCATTCATCAGTACAACATTCCCATCCTTTTGAATTTCATAAACACTGTGTGCAGTGAGCGTGGTTTCAGATTAGGAATTACAAGCTACATTGGAGTTGGAGGCCAGTTGAGTCAAACAAGAAAACACGAGTTGACAAATTCTGTGCGTGAATTCAACAGAGCTGTGAATCCTAGTTTGCGCCTTGGTCTTAGAATCGTTGCACACAAGACAGACAAAGCGTCTTTTCTCGACGAGGCCCAGGCGGCCCTTCACATTGACGATCGATTGGATCTCTGCGATCACATTAATCAAGTCAATTCGAGGATTAAGACGGTTCTTGTTACTAAGCCCTCCAAAAGACGGTATCATTGCACACATTGGGTCTTCAATTCTCTGCGGGATTCTTTGGAAGCAGTTTCTAACGGAACTATCAGGGTGAACTGCCAGCTCCACTCTCGCGCTTTTGAAGAGTTCTGGGCTGTTCCAAGCTGAGTGCTTCTCTTTCTCTGCGGAATCTGAGCTGCATTGGGGGGTTGCATCGGAGATGCAAGACTCGAGTTCGAGCTTCCAGCTCACGGAAAGTAGCGGGATTGGGAGTGTGGGAGGGATGCCAGGAAGGATCGAAGGAGAAACCGCTAGTGCTGCATCAAGAGGATCTTCTAGTGGTTCATCTAGGTCAAAAGTGAAACAACTCCACAAAGTCACCCAAAGAACCGGAAGACCCCCACCATCAGTTAGAAGGCAGGTTCACCCAATGGAAGAAGCCGCTTCAGCATCTCCAAGCGGATCGTCGTTGCCACCTCTCGAAGATAGGACGCAGGCACAGATGATCGAGGACTCGGAGGAGCTTCCTCCATTGGAACGGGAAGGTGACGGGTCGGGTGTTCAGTTCTCTCAAACTTTTAATAACCAAAGGGCTTTTCATGATCAAAGATCCATTCACATTCATAACCCCGAAGCATCATTAATAGGGAGGATGGCTGAAACAGCCGCATCAGCAATGGTTTCGGAGGCGAAAGCCGAGGCCACCCAAGTAGTTTCAGGGATTATGACTCAAGCTGAGCAGGCTGTGTCCTCAGCACGAATTGAGGTCGCACAGGCACAGACTAGGGCCGAAGCCACTCATGCAGTTGCAAGTAATGAAATTAATAGCTTGAGGTCCCAATTGGAAATTATGAGAAATGAGAACATGGAGTTGAAAAGTAAGTTCCTAGAGGCCACAGCACAACAAGCTCAAAACAGCCAAGCCAGTAATGGAGCGGAATGGTTTCAACATGCCATGAAGGAATTGGAATCTATTGTCAAGGACTTAAGGGATTCAAATGTTGTTCCGAGGGTTAATTCCATTGAGTCAAAGATTCATGCTTTGGAGCAGCAGTTGCACACCCACCAAACTTTTCTGCAAGAATTATGGTTGGAGCGATCGAATCCCCCTGTTCCCCAGGAAGTGACCCCTCCGGTTATTTCGCAGGTTCCTTACTTACCTTCAGGAGCAATTGTTCAACCATGTCCTGTTGCACCAGCTGAACAAATCTCACCAGTGAGAACTCCAGTTCATTTCAATTTGTGGGAAGAAGATCAAGGGAAAGGTTCGGAAGGTAGTGAAGCCCCATGGGTTGATTTAGGTCAGGACCTCGAAAAGACGTCACTTCGAACGAAGGACCTCCATCATTTGAAACTGCCAGCGATTCCAGAATCAGCAGCCCAGTACCGAACTTGGAGGAACTCTGTGAGAACGGCAATTCTGGCGTTCGACACGAGCATGGAAGGCCACTTGGGCCCATGGCTCTCGAAAGCCTTTGTTGCAAGGGGGTCGGATTCGCTGGAGTTGGCCAGGGATAGTGGGAATTTCCCCAGGTGCGATAGGGTAATTGCAAGCCTTCTTTGTCGCCAGGAGTCTCTCAGGTCTAGTTTTGGGTTAAAAATTCAATCTTACGTTGAGAGATGCGAAATGAATGGTGACAACATTCGAGGGCGTTACATTCTCAATTTGATTTCAACAGAATTCGACACTGCGAACGTTTCCACATCGATCACGACAAGTCTTGAACTTTTCCAATTACCATCACCTCAGGAAAGTGTATCCGGATTGAGGCATTGGCACGATAAGGTAACCTATATTTTGTCACAGCTTGCAATCCATCAACGTCCAGCAGATGACATGCTTTCCCATTGGGCTTATAACTCCTTGAAACGACACCCGTTGCTTAGGCGAGTCATTGACAGGTATCAGGAACTCCCTGCTTTTAGAACATTTGACTTTCTATGGGAAGGGGTTGAGACGGCTTTGCGCGAGTCCCAGCATGATTCCAACGCTCAGTCTATCAGGGATGATCTTCGTAAGGGTCCCCCTCCTCCGTCAAAGAAATGAATCCCAACAAGAAGCAAAAGGTGTTGTTGCTCCAAAAGGCAAAGGGAAAACCAAAGATGAGAAGAAACCCGAAGCCAAGGCAAAAGCCAATCCAAAGGATTCAAAGTCTTCAGATTACAAGGGCAAAGGGAAAGGTAAGGCTAACCCCAAAGCAGGTCAACCTTCACCTCCCAAGGCATCCAACAGTGGGGGAACCCCACCACCGTGTATTTTCCATGCGCGCGGGAAGTGCACACGGGCTAATTGCCCTTTCTCTCATGACTCACAAAGTGTTCCGGCCAATCCTGCACCATCTTCCATGCCAAAGGCATCTGCACCAGTGCCAAAGGCTAAGGCTGCAGCGGCAATGGTAGCTTTCTTAGGAGGTTTGGGGCCTGTTGTGGGTTTGACATCTACGTTGGATCCTACTTCCACCGGTTTCTTGGATTTCATTGGCGATACCGGAGCCGGGGAGTGCCTTGGATCACCTGAAGCACTGAGGAAACAGGGGATTAACCTTCCTTTTATTTTTCGGATACTTCTTACCCTTTGAAATTTGCTACTGGGGGTGGCTCCCAACAGGGGTCCACCACGGTCGGATGTTGGTCAGATGAATTTCAACGGCTTTCCAATATCTACATGTTACCCCAATGTCCATTGGCTCTTTCAATTGGGCAACTTTGCAATGATGGGTTTACCTTCATGTGGCCGTCAGGTCAACTTCCCTTTTTGGTTCCACCCTCATCTCACGTGACATACCAGGTTGACGGTCCCACCATTGAGGCTCATAGGATAGAACGTAATGTCCCAGTTTTTCGCGTCTCCACCGAATTTGTTCCCGGCATGCCATGTGTGTCATCGGGGGGGGGAATACCGGTCATGAACTTTCACCAGCTCTTGCCTCTCACAGCCCCGAAGAACCACTAGAGGATGAAAAGCATGATGGGGATAGGGGAGAAGATGATGAACTGGATGACGCACCGCTCACAGAGAATCATCTCCTGACTCACCTCCCGAAGTCTCGTAACTGTCCTGTGTGTGTTCGAGCGAAGCTTTATGAATCTCCGCATCTAAGAAGGGCCAACCAACGGGAGTCACTAAGGGAAATCCGAGATGTAGAAGAACCAGTTGAGCCATTAGAGAGGGTTGCATGTGATCATGTGATTTCACGAACTAGCTCGGGGAATGGGGGCGAAACATGCTCTTTTGTCATTGTTGACCGGTACAGCGGATTAGTAGGAGTAAAACCATGCAAATCCAAAAGTTCAGAAGAGGTCGAAGACGCTTTTCGCCGGTTTTGTGGGAGGAAGAGAGTGGGGATTGTTTCGGTCGGGAGTGACAGGGCCCCTGAAATCCTTTCAGCCTTGAAGCGGTTGGGATTTGACAGTGAGCCTTCTGAACCTCGTCAAACCCTACATAACCCCTATGCTGAATCATTCATCCGAACCCTAAAAGGGATGACCTCATCACTTCTCCTTCAGGCAGGTTTAGGTCATGAGTTTTGGCCATTGGCGCATCAATACATCGAATGGGCACATCCAATTACTTCAATTGCAAACGGTGAAGGGTCTATATCCAATTTTGAACTGCACCATGGTTATCCTTATGAGGGCTTCAAAATACCGTTTTGTTCACTGGTATGGGTTAAGGACTTGAATCCCCAACCTTTTGACCCCAAAGGGGAACCAGCGTTGTTTTTGGGTGCTGAGTTGAATGGTGGCATGAAATTCAAGGGTCTCTACAGAGTCCTGCCGTTGGCTGCTTTCAAGGAAGGGTCCATGAGGGAGAGGGCTGTAAGGACACTTGCAATTCCTCCAGGCCCATGGCAGTTTCCTGCTAAGGTGGAAGGAAAGGATTCACTGAAGCTGGACCCAATGCCAGGGTACCTTGGGGACTTTAGGGATGAGAAGGGTGATGAAAAGGATGAACATGCTAATTGGGAAAAAGAACTTGCACAGTTTCACAAAGAAATGGAAGAAATGGCAGAAAACAAGGGTGATGATATCAGCCCTGCGAGAACCGCGGGTGGTACCAAAGCTCATTCCGAAACAAATTTGAAAGGTAAAGCAGAAGCTTCCAAGGAAGTAGGGGCTAGGAACAGGAACATTACAGCAATCAGGTTAGCAATTCATGGCCCTAGCAAAGGATGTCAAGCTTGTAAGGATGGAACATATTCTCACACCCAGGAATGCCGAGCTAGATTTAATGAACTTCTTGACACTTCCGAACCAAAGAAAAGCACCAGAAGTAAACCAATTCTGTGCGAGGATTTACCTAGCGATGCTCGTGAATCATGTCCTGAAGGCGATGATTTGGAGGACGCAGCAGACATTTCAGGTCTGATAAGCACAGCAACTGGTAGTTTCGTCAGCAAGCATTCAAATGACATCGAAAGGGGCAATGAGGTGGTGGCTGGCGTCTTGGTGGAATGTTTGGAAAACGGGGACGGAATCGAATCTCAATTGGCCGAACGTTTTCACTCAGTTTGTCAATCGCTTGTTGCACCAACGAAAAACAAATCGGACAACCCCAAAGAATGGTTTGTTGAGTTTTGTTGTTCTTCAACCAGTTCATGTTGCCTTGTTGCACAGCACTTTGAAATTCCTTATCTTGGTTTATCAAAAGATTTTGGGGACATTCTTGACGACGGTGTGTACGAACAAATTGAATACTGGATGCATGAGAGAGTTCAGATGGGGGAAAAGGTTCATTTGTTTGGGTCAATTCCATGTGGGCCATTTTCACCATTACAAAATCTCAATCTCGCAGTTCAGGGTGAACCGTACCAAGAGTATCTCCAGGACCAAAGACGGAAATCATTAGATATGGTTGTAAAGTTCGACCATCTTTCTGAAGTAGCTATTCTTTCGGGAGGAACCAGTTCTTTTGAGTGGCCTAAGGAATGCCGGGGATGGAAGGAGAGCGAAGTCCTTTCCATGATTTCAAGGTTCAGTATGTTCGCATGTTATCCAACGGGATGCGGTTTTGACTTGACAATCCAAGGCAAGAAACCCCTCAAAGAATGGCGTATTGTCACTACTTCCCAAAGGTTAGCCTTTGAACTCAACAAATACCAGTGTAAACACCCTCCATGTTTTCGTCACGATGATATCATTGGGGGGGGCATTGCCGAACAAAGTGGATTCTACAACCTCAAAATGGCAACGGTAATTGTTTCCTCATTGTGTCTTAGGACTGTTTTGACTCAGGTTCCCAAAATGCCAACTGTCAAAGGGGTCATGGCTCATGAAGAGCAAGGGCTCTGGTTAGCTCAAGAAGTTTTGGCATTAGTTCACCGTCCACTTACTCGGGATGAAATAGCTCAGAGCCCAAGAGCCAAAGAGGCATTGCTTAGTGAAGCTTCTCAGATGAGGTCGCTAGGTGTTTGGGATGAGAGCAGAGCAATCGAGGTGGATGAGTTGATGAATAGGTGTAGGCTTAGTGGTGAGTCTATTCACATTTCCGAAATCATGCCTATTTGTCATGTCAAAAACTCTGAGCTTCCCCCGGAACAGAAAAAGCTTAAGGGCAGGCTAGTTTTCAGGGGAGACGCTTGTCGCAATGAAAAGGGAATCAAGGCAATTTACCGGGAAATCAAATCTCTTCCAGCAACCGTACACTCCATCAACATTGTTTTATATTATGGATTACGAGAGGGTAACAAGGTGGAAATCTCGGACGCGACAAAAGCCTATCTCCAGGCGCCGCTGAAATCTGAGGTACCCACTTGGGCAATCATTCCCAAAATTATTTGGCACAACCATTGGTTCAAGAAATATAAAAGGGTTGCATGTCCACTTGTTCGTGCACTCTATGGACATCAGACATCTGGTGATGATTGGTTTGACTATTTCGACAGCACCTTGGTTGACAAGATGAAAGGTTGCCGAATAGAAGAATTTCCATCTCTATGGTGGTTTGAAGAGTGGGAAGTGCTTGTTGCTGCTTACGTTGATGATGTTATTGCCTCGGGGCCCATTGCTGGGGTAGATTCATTCTGGAAAGAAGTGTGCAAACATATCACTTTTGATGAGATCACGTCTCCAGGCAGGTATCTTGGCCGGGATCACTTAATTTTTGAACTCGGGAAGGGCAAGACTGTCTTTATGGCAATGACTGATTATGCCAAGTCAGCCTATGAAATGTATGAACATGAGTTTGGAGTGTTGAAACCGCATGAGACACCATTTGTTTCTGATTCAATGCTCACTACTGAAGGGTTTGAGTCCCAGGGGCATTTGGCTGGGAGCGCTGCTTCATTACTCATGAAACTGTTATGGTTGGCAAGGCTGTCACGCCCAGACCTCTCCTTCTCTATAGTCAGTTTGGCGGGTTCAATATCGAAATGGTCAAGAAATCATGATCTTCAACTAAAAAGGTTGTTGGGGTACGTGAAGCATACTTATAAGATGGGTCTTTGGGGAGTAGTTCCGCACTCAGGTGTTCCCAAGTTGAATGTTTACTGTGATGCTGACCTAGCTGGTGACCATTTGACATGCAAGAGCCATTCAGGGATCTATGTTGTTCTGGATTTTGGGGATGGTGAAAGTAGTTTCCCACTATCCTGGTCTTCGAAGCGGCAGACAGCAGTCGCCCGTTCGACCACAGAAGCCGAACTGGCGTCCGCCAATGAAGGCGTTTTTCAGGATGGAATTCCAATCAAGATTCTTTTGGAGCGTGTCTTGGGGAGTGAGGTCCGCACGGCCCTGTGTGAGGATAATACTGCGTGCATAAGTGTCATCCAAGCAGGATATTCGCCGAAACTAAGGTCCATGAGCAGAACCCACAGAATATCGGTTGCAGCATTGTCTGAGGCCATCACAACTCAGGTCATCGACATCGAGCACGTTGAGTCCAAACTTCAACTTGCGGATATCCTAACTAAAGCCCTAAATAGAATAATCTTTTTGCAGTTGCGTAACATGATAGGAGTAGGAAACCCCCCTGAAACCCAAACCTGAACCTGTAAAAACCGAAAACAGGAGGAGACCCAACCAAAGGTCCAGATATCAGGGAGGGCCAGCCCAGCTTTCGAGCGGGTGGCTAAGGATTGAGTTCAGCGCTTTTGGCATCATGCGCCGCGCTGCTGCTTCTATCAGCATTGCATGCCTTCGCTGCGGACGGTGAGCCGTAGTTTTCACCTGTTGCAAGTTGTATAGCAATTTATTTACATTCAGGTAAACTCCCCTAAAATCAACGCCTTGGAAATCACGGCGTCATACGAGACCCTAGCCGGGGGGGTCTCACTTGCCGCATGCTTAAAGCAAAGGCACTCATTTAGGGGGGGGAGCCGTACTGTGTTTCACATATCCTCAACCTTGGCAAGGTACTGGAAGTGGTCGGCGCCACTGGATCCACCATGGTCTCGTACATTTTGCCAGGAATCATCTATGTTGGGGATTTCAATCCATTTTCAGAAGTTGACGGGCAATACTCCGTCTGCCAAATCACTTTGGCTCAAGCTGAAAATCTGAGTTCAGCCGCCTTTGCGTTCCATCAAACAAACATGACGAGTCTCAATATTGTCGTGGAACTTGTCAGGTCCCCTACTTGACCGTCCATGTCATGTGGAAAAACATTTTTATATTGGACTCATCTCCGTTCGGCACGGTTGGGCGTTCAGAACCCGCGTTTTAAAAACTCGAGTTCCAGAACGCGCGTTCTGAGCGAATCCTTTTTTCCAATGATGTAAAGTTAATTTATTTCCGGGGTTTGAACAGAGAAACCTTTTTTCCATTTTTTCCCCCCCAAAAAAAATGATGTGGAGCTCTTGTGGGCTCAAAATGGTGATATTAGAGCGGGGCGTAGGGATATGTTTCGATTGATAATTAAGTGGACAAGTGGATAAGAGTTACTGGGAAGGGGATATATGATATATTATAATGATTTTTCTAGGGTTTGATGTTGCTTTGTGTTGCTGAGAAGAACCGTTCGGACAAAAAGCCTTGGGTTGGGCAGGCCTAAGACGGAATCCTTTTTTAGCGGCTTTAAAAAACGCTGGGCAGGCCAAAGACGGATCATTTTTTTGCCTGATTTAAATAGAATTGTGCAGACCATGTGATAGAGTGGATCCTTTTTGCAGGGAGCAAAAAAAGGATTCGGAGGCTTCTGGGATCCATAAAACCACTAAAAACACCCCTGCGTTCGGAACACGCGTTCCGGAACGTACGTTTTGCGTTCTGTGTTTTGGTCGTGTTATTGGACCATCGTCCCCAATTTTGGACACGCTCACGTGTCCGCGAATCAATCTTGTGATTTCGCATCACCCAAACCTACCAAAATAATTGACAGATAGTGACAGGATTGTATTATCCATATGATTTCAAAACAACCTCCAAGTCTTGGAGTCTGGTACCTCCATTTTGTGCCAAGTTTTTTTTGGTGATGATCAGCTGCCCAGGAAGATCGATGATTTTGCTAGTACCATTACGGACTACGAGGCATTGATCAAAATGTTAGAAAAGCTCCGCACCCAGGCGGGGGGAACAGTGGAACAGCTGGGAAGAACCCAACAGAAGGACCACAGCAAATTTGATTTTCTGTTGATGTTCAGGACATGGCTACTGCACCCACTATGTTTTTGGCGACGATTTTGGACATAGATACGATTTCAGACATATCTGGCCATGTCTTTTTCTTTGGTGCCAGGGGGATCCAGGGGGCGGGGCAGCGGGGATGGCTCTAACACGCCAGGTGGAAGCGGATGGTGGTCCTCCTAAGCAGTTTGTGAAAGCCATTGGCGCATTGGAAGACTACATTGAGCCACCCGGCGTCAGCAGCGTGAAACACAGCTATTTAAGTAGGATAGCGGGACGTTCCGTTGAACAAGTTGTTGGAAACGTGATGTGATGGGCCTCTAAAATATGATGAATTCAGCTTTCAAAATCCCGTGACTTAGCTATGGCTAAAGCATGCTAAAGCTGTTTGTGGCTTGATTCCAGCCGGGGTTTGACTGCCCGTTGCCAAGGAAAACTCACGCCGAAATCCAGGAGAGCATTTGTCACTTGTTTCACATCACATCTCAATCATTCTCAAACTGTGTCAAGACCTTCTGGAGCAATTCTTTAATTTTTTTAAAGTCGTTCTAAAAAAAACATGCCTTCTCATGCCTTGTCCTAGATCAAGAAGCCTGCTGAAGTGAAGCACCTTCTACATCTCAAGCCTCACCCAAATCACAAAAATCACCAAAGTCTGCAGGAGAAGAAGTCCAAGGGCAACAAGTTGCCAGAGAACAAAGCGAAGGCCTTCAACACCCTTCGCTCCAAGGCCTTGAACTGCTCCGATTCAGAGGTCGCCTCAACCCCTCATCAAATCCCCAATGCCTCCACATCCCTTGGCTTTTCTTTTTTCCCCCATCATGGCATGTTGAATCATGTTCACTGCAGCTCAAAAAAGGCTTGTTCAACTCAGCTGCCAGGGAGATGTTTTCGATGTCTGCAGGTGAAGAAGGGCAACAAGCTCTACGCCGACGACCTGACGCAGCTGCGTTCCAACCCCGAGGATTTCCAGTCTGAAGAGGAAGCCGCAGACTCTGCCAGCGAGGTGCGAGGCGGTTGTGGTTTGGAGAAAAAAGATTGAGAGAATGAGGATGCCCCACTAGTAATTAGATTGGGTGATGGTAAAATCGTTATCAGAAGCAGGAGTTTGTCCATGTTCTTTTTTTCTTTTGAAGTCTTAGATTCGAAGCTCCTTTTTAACTCTTTTTGAAAGGGAAACTTCCCATTCTGAGTTTAACCTGATTCGGAGTGCTGGATCCTGGAATTCTCCGAAGTGAGGGGGCTTGGTTTTTCATCTCCTATGAAAAACCAGGGTCCCCAGAGTGGGGCTGGGTTTCCAGAGTTTCCAGATTGGGTTTCCCAGATCTCGGGGAGTCAACGCCAAAAGATCCACATCCGAGGCCAGCCAGGCAGCTGGTTCCGAGGATTCCGCCTCCGGGAGCTCTGAGAGTGACTCCAGCAGCTCCAGTAGTGACTCCAGTAGTGACTCCGTGCTCTGGCATGGTGGGATGGGATGGGATATGATGGGATAATAATAAATATATATATATATATACACATATGTATATGTATATGTATGTGTATGTAATTATATATATACATATGTATATGTATATGTATATGTATATGTATGTGTATGTAATTATATATATGTAGATCATATATAAATATTTTGCTATTGATTACTATTGATCTTATTGGAACATGTGGGTTTGTCCAACATCAAGACATGTTTTCACCAGGGTGTTTCTCAAAATTTGGCTCTGGACAGACCCGGACGGGATCGGTTGGAAATCGTGATATCACGTGGGGTTGAACACCTGGGAATTTTTGGATTGATCCAAGTATATATGTATATTATATAGATGATATATAGATGATATATTACACGCACACATATATATATATATGTATAATATATATATATATATGTATGTATAATATATATATGTATAATACATATATATATATACAAGATGTATATGTGTATATATATATGATAGTATATGGTGTATGGTGCAATCTTGCTTAGCATTCCGTAGAAGTGAATGACACTTTGCTATGTACGTGCTCCAAAAGAAATACAAGGAATTTGATCAGGGGATTCTCACATCAACTCAGGGTGATTCTCAATGTTTATCAATCTGAGGTGAACAAATTTGATGAACATGATTGATCAAAGAGTATAATACTCCACCAACATGTTTATAATTACAATAATCAATTTGAAAAACCAATGTACAGATCAAACTGGTCGACTCATCTTGACTCCCAGAAGTTGGATCTATCTGCAAATGACCCCATTCGCCCGTGGCGCCTGTGGTGTCTCATATTTACTGTAGGTGGTACTTCGATGATGATGATGATGATGATGATGATATCATCACTATTATTCTCCACGGTGATACTGACAGTTCTAGAGGTGGTCATGGTACCTGGCAGAGGATGACCCCCAAACCAGCATGGATGTGAGGACAGTGATTCGTCGGACAGCTCTTCGGACACTGGTGGCAGCGATTCTTCGGATCCTCGGCGCAGCAGCCACCGTTTGACTCCCAATTTATACAACGGCCATATTTAATGAGGAAGGTGCTGACAGGTGGAATTGATCCATGCTGCTGTTCTAGAAGTTCCTCTAGATGTGCCAAGACGGGTTTGATTCGGTGTTTGTTAGAACATGTTCGCAGCATCTTGCCTGCAGATTACGGACCGCCATGAAAGTCAGGTGATGCGTAGGGCATCTAATCTCTAATCTCTGTCGAACCCATCATTTTTGGATCCGATCTCCTCAATTTCGCCAGTTTGTATCCCATCTCCTCAGCGACACCAGCAGTTGGCCTCGCTAGGACAGCGACTCTGAACCCTCCTTCGACGACAGCGACAAGAGCGGCAGCGAGGATGGTGACGAAGATTTGGCCCGAGAGAGGCCGGAAGGGATGGGATACGAAGTTTTTTTAAGGACCTCTTGGGACTTGGGACCTCCAAAGAGTTTGATCACTGATTTTAAGCTACAACATGTCACCATTAGACCATTAGCCATTGGGAGGTGGTATAGGATGGTATTCGATGGCATACTGAGTACCAAGACTCCAAACCAAACAAAAACTTGTTTGGTTTGTTTGTCCATGATCAAGAAGGCAGATGGAGACGGTCTAAGTTCCACATCACAAGACAAACTAATTTACTTTCCTTCCAAAATTATGTTGCGGTCCACTACAGAAACTCCAGTAAGCCTGTTCAAACTGTTCGAACTGAGAACAAATCCTTTATGCAAGTCTTGGGAGTTCCAAAGCCACTTGCCCTCTGGTATCCGACAGAGCTAGGGAAAATGGTTTGTTTGTATCCGTTCGTGGATGATTTACCTTGCTGTGTTTGATTGCCAAAGGCAACTATCTTTAGACTTTTGGCATCTTTTGGTAGATGTTTCGATTTGGGGCACTTCCCTGCTACAGGAAGATGCTGCGATGGCTCATCACGCCCGAAAAGTTGGCGGAGCGTGAAAAGAAGGCTCGCCGGGGACGTGGGAGGATGGTTGTTGTGAAACTGCAGATGGGATCAGATGGGTAGTGGTGCAGCCCGGCTGGAAACCTGAAAATGGACATGCAAGAAGCGTGGCAAGATGCCAACAGATAAATCTCTGAGGTTGTGCAGCTCTATTCCTTGCGGCTTGTTGTGCCATTCTGTCACATGGTTGAACTTGCCTGATTTTCCCTATTTTCACATCAAAATTGCGATGAATTAGGTGTATGTATTGCCATGTAGTTCCAAATCATTCCCTCATTCTTGGACACTTCCTATTTATTGCCAGATAAAACACTTCATCTGATATCATTACATGATACATAATCATACCTTTATTATCACATAATATCATATATATATACAGTATATCATTTAACTATATTTAACTATAATCTACATCATATATTCATTGGTTTATCATTCATTTCTGGTGAAAAAGCCGCCACAAAACGGACCAGGCCGAAGTCGCTAAGGCCAAAGAGGCCGAGAACAAGGCATTGGGCCAACTGGGTAACAAAAAGAAGAACTGGGCCTGGTATACCCATAGTATCATAGAGATAATATGAGATAACCACAATGAATAACTACAGTAAACTAATCTATATTTACTAACTGGTAAACTAATATCTCAAGGCCCATCTGCTTGTAGAGAAGAATATAGATGAATATAGAGATGAATATAGTACAAGATAGTTTTAATGACTGATAAACATCAACTCTTGCATTCATAGAAAAACAACTATTCATTCTGTAAGTGCCTGCAACTATAGTTCATTTGAATTAGCACTTGGAAGATCCAACTGTTGCAGATTCGCTTTGGGGCACTATGGTGGCTGAAGACTGGGATGGGACAGAAAGGTTGACGCAGTGTCGAATTCGACAAGGATCTTGTTACTTGAAGAGAAATTATCCACAGTTTCGTGAGAAATCCAGAACGGGCTTCGTGAAATATTTCTCGAGTCTGCGAGTTTCACGGGTTTCACGGCCTGGTTTTTTTGAGTTGCGCGATTTGTGGAGCAGGCCAAAGATCAGGAGAAACGTGCTAGAAAGAAGGACAAAGTGGAGGAGGGTCAGAAGGGCACCACCCATCAACGCAAAGGCTGGGAGCATTGGGAGCATTGGGAGCGGGCGTGGCACTGGCTTAACTGATATGGCTAGCACCTTGGCCCCATTTTGAAGGCGGTGGGGACCTAGGGACCTGGGCAACGTTCACTTAGTGGATTCTATATATATATATAATATTATATGCATATTTGGAGGTTTCCTGAAATGGTGCTACCCCCAGTTATCATCCATTTTCTTTTTGGGGATTTTCCATGGAAGGCCCACCATCCAGCTGTTGAGATCCCATTCTGCAGGTAAAGATGAGCCAGAAGAGTACACCTCCAAGGACTGTATTTTTCTCTCCTGGATCCCAGGTTTAGCCAATTTCCCATATTTTGATGGGTAATTTGTGTTTATATATATATATTATATATTTATCTATTATAGATTTATTATAGTATAATAATATAATATATATTTACATATTTATTATATCCCCAGTTTGTTTGTCCGTCATTTTCCCAGATCTTCTGGATGAGCCTCTTGGATCCCCCCAAAGGTTTACTGGTTCTCTACACGCATATACTATATACATATATAATCGTATATATAATATAAATACAAATACAATAAGATACATATATTATTACACACTAATACTAATATAGAATCACATATAGAGATATGATGACATGTAATTTTTTATAATGACATACATATAATGATATATGATGATATATATATATGATGATATATATATACACATGTATTTATATGTCGTATATCCCTTAGATCTCCAGTTGTCGCGCAGCCGCGCAGCTCGGTGCCAGGAGCTCACCACCAAGGTCACTGAGATCGCGCAGCAGCGTGGACGTCGAGGCTTCGATCGCAAGGCGGCCATGGGGGAGGCATTTCATGGGAATATCATGAGGTTTACCATATATTGTCATATATTACAATGTATATATATACATATATGTATGATATGATATGATATGATATGATATGATATGATATGATACGATATGATATGTAAGAATGATAATATATATATATATATGTATAATATGATGTGTATTATATATATGTATTATATGTAATATTAATTATAAATAGATATACAATGGGTGGCAATTTGGAGACTTATCCACGTCTACGTCTTGTTTATGCTGTGTTTTATGGTATGATGATGATATGGGGATATCAACTCTCTGAATAACTTGGAGATTTGTCACAAGTTGTGCAAAGTTCAACATATTATGCCAGGGTGGCCCTCCCAAACGATCGCTAAGTTGGCTTAGGACTAATGTAACTAGGGTTTTTAGTGTGTATATATTATATATATATCGATAGTTGGCGGGCTTTATCATGGGGATCTATATCTACTTGACAATCATGGGGTTGGATATCCTTATGATGGGCCATCGGAATCATGGTAATCTTGATGGGGATATATTTTCCTTATAGTTGTCAGATAGGTATCAATTTGTTTGGGGTATGGTTCCGGGGATGTAAGAAACAATATTTGTATATACAGTACAGATTTCTCCAACAAGATGAGAATGGAATATAGATTTATGGTAAAGATGGATGAAATTTAACATGGGGGATATGGGGGTATGTGGATGTATATATACATTAACAGTTGTATCCAGACATATGGGGTTGATGGTTGGGGTGTAAAGTAAGAAGATTTCGGATACATATACCCAATGATCCTGGACGTATGCAAGAATTTTGTGGACATCCAGACTTTGTTTACAGCATTTTACAGCAGCATCTTGGAAACCCCAAATCTTTCCATCAGTCATGGTGGGACGAGTCTTGCCCTATCCCATGTGGGGTTTCATGACTTGTTTTTCATGGGAATGCTGGAATCTTCAAAAAAGGATTCCAAATGACTTGTGGATCCTTCATTATGATCTTTCCTGGTGATCATCCATGTGCAATGGGTTTTCAAATTGCATGCTATCAGATTGGGGAGCTTGATCCACAGGAGTGGTTGGCAAATGTCCTAATTTTCTCATCACCCGACTATTGGGGATATTGGGAATATAACCTCCAACAGATGCTTGAAAGTGATGTTCAAAATCCGCAAAACGAGACATGTTGCCACCTTGATTGCCTTTTCACACCGAGTGCAAGGTGATTGGCTGTACGATGCCCCACATGTCGTTTAGGGGAACATCTGCAAAGCTGAATTTTTGGATGATAATTACTATAGATGAATAGACCATGACAAGTACAGTACTATATAGCTACAATGGAGATATTCTCGATTTAATTGGATGATTTTCGATTTTTAATGCCTACGGCCGACGTATTTCTAGGGAATTTCCCATGTTTTTCTACATTTTTTTGCCACTAGAATCAAGCCACAGCGCACTGCACCGAAGGTGTACATGGAAAAGTTGCAGAAACTTCTTGTGCACGCGGCGAAGCACGGCCCGCTGGAGCCCGCTGAGTGAAATTTTTGGATGGGAAGTTTTAGTACAACTGAATCTTTTGCTGCAAATAATTGGGGACGGTATATATATATACATACTATATATTATATATATTATGTAATTATGTATTACATTTGTATGTATGTATATATATATGATTATATATATATAATACATACGTACGTACCTACACACCTACCTACCTACGTACGTAAATCGGATGTGTATATATATATACACATACATATACAAATTACATAAATACGTATATACATATTATACACATTAATATATATATACAGACACGTTATATAATCTAAGTGGCTAAACGGCGATCTTTTTTCTGCAGGGTATCTTCCAGCTTGTCCATGTATATAAAGTGGTTTCTCAAAAACAAAGCGAAGAGTGAGAGAAAACCAATTTGTTCCTCTTCAGAAGACCATCTTTGTGGAATGAGATTCCATTTGCACGTGGGCCCTCCAGAAAATCAGATATGGAGAGCGCACCATTGATCATTTTCCTGAAACCGATGGACTTCCCAGATCTTGCGCCTTGCAACGGCAGGAGCAGCTCTACATTTATGCCTCAATGGTTTCAGCAGACTTCGACAACACAGGGAGCGCCTTTGCTGCCATGAAACTTGGACGAACAAGTTGCTGGGTTTGAGGTATGACGATTTCACTGGCAAAGCAACAAATACAGATATGGAAAATGAACGATGCCCAATTTTGGCTATGGCTCAGAATTTTGGGATGGGTAGATACTACAAATAGTTACAAATGATCAATTTGTCGGTCCATTGACGCCACATGTTCGAGCCACACCAGACAGAGTTGAAAGACCCTGGCATGATGTTTAATTAATTACTATTAATTTATTGCGGATGAAGCACCCAATTGTTTGGGAGTTTTGACCCAGTTCGGCCATCACAGGTGTCCTTTAGAGTGGAAGGATGTCCACCTTTTAGAGGATAGCCGAGTGAGCCGGATGAGCTGTCTCAATTTCTGATGGGTGCCGAGGAAGATTGAGATGTGGAACGAGGCCTTGCAGAAGGTGCGCAGCTCTCATGACGTTCGGACTCGGATCTCCCAGCGATTTTGGCTTTGCCAAAAGAATCCAAAAGATAAACGAGGCAAGATAGATAGATAATGATAGATATAGACTGATATACATTCTAGATAGTGTTTATGTGGTATGGCACATGATGAACTTTCTGCCCCTTGAGATTCAAGTACACAGAACCGTCGCAAACATGTCTTTAAACTCAGTCAGACATGGGCCAAAAACGTGTCTGCCATAGTGGGATGAACGGTCACCACATTCATCCCATCCAACTTCATGGCATCCATGGCATCCATGGCATCCATGGCATCCATGGCATCCATGGCATCCATGGCATCCATGGCATCCATGGCACAGGTGAACAAGATGCTTCCTTTGCTCATTGAATCTCACAACCTTATGAAGAGTGGCAGCGAGGACAAGACATCAGCAGGCGCGCAGTGGCTGCTGCACCAACTGCATCCAATGAACCTTAATTGAAGCGACAAAAAGAGTGAACATGGCTCAAAGAAGTACAAATGCCTTCACCCCAAAGCGTGCATCAAGGATTTAGAAAAATAATGCGGTGTTCACCCAACAATAATCCATCCCCACATGATGATCATCATTGATATTTTTTATGGCCGGTTGAATAAATCCATCCCCAAATTTTGGTAGCTTCATTACCCTCTGGTAATTTAACATAACTATTGAAAATCACCATTTTTAATGGGAAAATCAATAATTAATGGTCATTTTCAATAGCTACGTTAAATTACCAGAGGGTATTGATCATGATTGGCTTTCCCATGGGTTTCCCACGATTTTTGTCATTCGAATCTGAGGTGACACTGATGTGGAGGATCCCAAGTCTCATCCACGATTGCAGGACCGGTCCGACTTTTTTACCGAAACTTTGGGGGGAAATCCATGGGAAAACCATAGGAAACTGGAGGTTTTAATGGGAAAACTATGGGAAATCCATGGTAAACCCATGTTTTTTTTTTCACCTTAGGTTCAGCCCTGCGGTTTGGGCAGAGCAGGCCCAGGGTCGAGCAAGAGTGCGTAGGTCGCGACGGCTACTCATTCTTGGTGACTTAAATTTGATCTTATTCTTTGTTCTACAGACTATATCGATGATTATTCTCCCTTTCCCCTTGCTGCTAGTAATTGCTTCTCTGACGCGCTCCCCCTGTCGTCGGCAGAGGTCGGCGGATCTATCCATGTCTATATCTACACTAATGATGACTAATTAAGAATGATAACAACCAATGGTCACAACAAATAATATCAAATAATTGCAATGGTAATCGAAGGAAGTTTAGAAGTCAGACTTCCGACAATATGGACAGATGGAAAAGCAGAGGTGGGAAGAGTCAGAGAGGAGAAGAGAAGAAGAGAGAAGATCAAAAAAGAGAAAGTCTCAGAAGAAAGAAGATCCATGTGCGCGAAAAGGCAGGAAAGTCACGAAACACTATCTTTTTCCAATGATTTGTGGCTCCGGAGGATCGAAAAGTAGGCTCGCTAAAGCGGTGGGTGCGGAGCCATGTGGCCAGATGAGAGATGAAAAATTGCACGCCGTTGTGGCGCCAAGCACATTTCCAAGTCAAAATGTACAAAGCACACCAACGTCAGACCACTTTTGGGAGTGAAGATGTCGAAAAAGTGCACACCGTTGTGGCGCGAAGCACGTTTCCAAGCCAAAACGCACAAAACACACCAGGGTTGGAGCACTTTTGGAAGTTGAGATGTCGAAAAAGTGCACGCCGTTGTGGCACGATGCACATGTCCAAGCCAAAATGTACAAAACACACCAGGGTTGGAGCACTTTTGGAAGTTGAGATGTCGAAAAAGTGCACCCCGTTGTGGCACGAAGCACATTTCCAAATCAAAAGATACAGAACACACCAGGGTCGGAGCACTTTTGGAAGTTGAGATGTTGAAAAAGTGCACGCTGTTGTGGCGCGAAGCACATCTCCAAGTCAAAAGTGCAAAAGCTGACAGGCACGGAGCACTTTTGGACGCTCAGATGTCGTTTCGCGTGGCCGGGTGGCCGGCGCAAGGGATTGTGCACCTGGTCAAAAGTGAGAAAAAGGCGGGGGTTGTCTAGCATTTCCCAAAACGATGGCAGGCGTGGGACATTTGAAGAGGATCTGGATAGACCGAAAGACAAGTGGAAAGACAGACAGATAGACAAGGAAATGGATAGATCTCAAAAGAGAAAAATAGAAAGAAAGAAAGATAGATAGACAAGACAGGCAGTTTGATTGATAGACGGCTGCGTAGACAGATAGAGAGCTAAGCAGATAGATGGAAAGACAGATAGATGGATTGGTAGATAGACAGATAATGGATAAGTAGTCAGACAACTAGAAGGATAGGTAGCTAGATAGATAATGATAGATACATGGATAGAGAAAGAGACAATAGACAGATAGGCAGATAGACAGACAAAGCAGATAGACAGACAAATGGATGGATAGATAGATAGATAGTTCGACATTCCAACCACCTTTCGGTCCATCAGTGGATTCGCTCTGCCATCCGTGATTCACGACAACCAATTTCTCCTATTGGTTTTCTATTTTTGAAATTTCCACCACTGGTAATAATGCTTACAGCAGCACATGTGTATGCGTATCAGTGCCGTATCTGTGTGTATATGTATATAGAAACGCAAACTGCACAATACGATAGACATGGCCCTTTTCACTTTGAAACTTGGGAAGTCAAAATGCGTTTGGAAGTTCCAGCATGAACGTTGCAGGACTTGTTCTTGTCTTTTGTCGAGAAACTGGATGATGAGTTGTACAAAGCTCTTCAGTTCAACAGCACCTCGGTAATGCAAACTTTCAACGCATCATAAATCGAAAGTAGCTGAATGTGGTTTATTGGAGCAATCATGTGTTTTTGTGAATTACTCCATTTTAGTGTTGACCAAAATTTGAGTTTACCACCCTGGAGGATCCGTAGGTAGGTCCATGTTTGGACTTGACATCACATGAGCAGTGCCTCGACGCCTATTGCTATTGAAATTTACCCTGGAATATGTAGTTCTCTTATATACCCATGTTCCCATGATATGTCCAGTATCGTTTGACCGGTTGGATACACCTTTGGTTTTTGGCATTACAATATCGTTTGTCTCGTTTAAAATATGTTCATCATCGTTTTCCAATTATTATTGATTCTTATATCCCATTATATCAAATTATCTCCCATCATTTCCCCTTGTATATATAAATATATATACGTATATATATATAGATATATATATATATTATGCATATTTTATGTATATTATATATGTATATTATATGTATATCATATGTATATTGTATATGTATATTGTATATATATATACAGTTGAATTATATATATATGTATATATACAAATCCCATGATTTCCGATGATTTACCATTAACCACCATTTTATGGGCCGGGACGGTACGGCACCCAAGGTGATGTCTACGGCTCCGAATACCATGAAATTTTGGGCAATTCCTCGAAGTGCCGTGGGCCTTGTTTTGTTTTGCACGGGTTCGGGTGGGGTTCCAAGAAAGGGGGATTTTAGCATGAAACAATATATATATAGTAGTTATATATATATATAGTAGTTATATATATATAGTAATTATATATATAGTAGTTATATATAGTAGTTATATATAGTAGTTATATATATATAGTAGTTATATATATATATATCTTATATAATAGAAGGGTAGCCAAGATATCAACGGATATTGATAAATTATGGTTGAATTATCAACCATCGAATTCAGGGGAGGTTTATGGGGATTTTAGTGTCAAATATGTTGGGATGATAGCTGATTAGTGATGGATGATGGATTGTAACCCATCATACGGAGAGTTTTCAGTATATTGGATCGTATAGGGGAGTCATTGATGACACAAGTTGAGCGTTACTGTAACTCCCTAAATTGACCCAGGATTTATTACCTGCTAGATGAACCCATGGGGGACCGTGAATGATTGAAATCATAGTGTCACCACTTTGGAACCCTCATTTAATCAAACGTGCTCCATCCTAGTTTGATTGGTGCAGAAGTGAATTAAATTGAGTTGACCAGAGTGTTTAAGGTTGTGGCCCAATTCTAGGCAAGAAAGCATCATGAAGAGCATGAATGGTGGTTTCAAGAGTTTACACATCTCATCTCAGGGTCTGATTGCGAAGATGGTAACATTATTTTTTTTTTAAAACCATAATACTATTGAGATGGGTAACCCAACCACCAACCCATAAGAACCTGTGTGTTAAGAACCGTCTTTTTTGCGCGCAATCCTTCTGGATGGATTTGATCACGGCCACCAGATGATAGGAACTGGTCCACATGTGGAAAAAAACCATACTTTGTGGATGCCCCTGTGAAAGAATTTAAGACTTGGGTGTTTTTTGGTGCTGATTGGCCCCACTGTGAAAAGATCATTTAATTTCACAAGAGAAGAAGTCACTCAGCTTCAGCAGTGACTCACGGCTTCAAGCTGTTGAATCCATCTGTACATTGGAAATCATGAACGCTCAAATACGGCTGGTACCAAAAAGATCCCAGAGAAATACGGCTGGAAACCATGAGCAGTACCATACAGCTGCCATGACTGGTGACCCCGGCTGCCTTGGCCTCCAGGTGTTTGGTCTTGTTGAACCGCACCTTGCGCTACTTCGAAGAGGTGCATGGATGCTTTTGATATGTTTTAATGGTTGTTGAACATGTCAAAAGAATGATGGTCGTCAGGGTTGGAACACCCAACATGAAGAGCTTGGAATTCGCATTGTGTTCGGCAAAATTACTCTTGGAATCTGGAAGGAATACCAGCACTCTGCTTGGAAGAGCAAGCTTTCTTTGTTGACACAGCTTGCGAGTGAAGCGAGCAAACCCTTGTGTGATTCACCTTTTTTTACAAGTAGTTTTTGAAAGTCATTATGGTACGTCAATATAGGGATGCTAGTGGACAAGTTCCTTGATATCGAAGCTATGGTGAGGCTGGGTCGTGCCATGGCCATGGCTGTCCTCAGGTCAAGGAGCCACAGCACTTGGGCTCCATTGCGGCCAGGCTCATGGAACAGTTGTACTACAAGCCGGACACACTGACGCACGGCACGGCACGGATTAGATGTTGGGTTGGTAGATGTTGGGTATGTTGGGGGTCCGAGTTGGCCATTTAGATGGCATGAGCGATCATGAGCTTTGGATTCAAAGCCCAAAATTTCAATGGTTCAGGCGGACCAGGTCCGCACGTGCCATGCTCAGGAACCACCGTGTCTACGATGCGATCCCTCACACCATGCCAGAAGAGTCGAAAGCGCACTGGGTGTGGCCGGACGATTCCAAGGCGTACATGGGCAAACTCTGCCACTATGTCCCTGGGCCGATGTCATTGCTGTTGCATTTCTTTCGCAGCTTGGGAGTTGGGCAGTTGGATTTTTTTGGACCATGGATACCCAGCGATTTTCTTGAAACTTGGGACAGCTTTTTTTGGGTGCCCATGATTTTGGAGAGAGAAAATCGATGAACATAAAACAGACTTGAACAACGTGCACTCTGCAGGATGTCCCCGAAGTTGTGTTTCGTACATAGGTTTGTTTCTATACACTAGTAGTGATCATAAACACAAATAAGAATAACTTCAGACATACACAGAAACAAGAAAACTAATAGAACACATCTCTTTCATTATACCCAAACACATTCAGCTTGTACATCTAACAGATCTTATATATCTATCTATACATTCTGTTTTTTAATCACCTCATTTTACTCCCCTAAAAAAGCCTGGGAGGGAAACTCCGAAAAACCGAGGTCTGGGCCGCAGGAGATGTCCGTTTGAGGCGTCGGGCGTGCCTCTGCCAGGCATATCATCTGGCGCTGCACGACTGCTTCCAGTGCCCTGGCGGTCACCGGAGGTCACCGGAGGTCACCGGCACGGTGCTTGGGGTTGTTGTCATGGGGTTGTTGACTGAGATATCTCTATATCGCTATATTAGTATATAATAATAATAATATATGTATATGTATATATGTATATCACCCAAATAATGGGATTTCATGATGATAATGATGATGATGATGATGATGACGACGACGACTTTGATTTTTTTTGATACTTTTTGATCATCGATTTGAGAGGACATGTACAGGAAACCATGCCTGTTACCTTCCGGTATAGGGCGTTCCGGTGAATTGTTCTTTTATCCAATCCTGGGATATCCTGGGAAACACGGAAATGGGCTATATACTTCTAAAGCTTGCACAAGTATTTTGCTCAAGACACGTTGGACTTATATTCCCAAATTGCAGCTGTTCCGTGGTGCTTGTGCAGGGCAATCCCTCATGTAAGGTGTTGAAGGATTGTAAGGATTATGGATGGCTTACCTTGGAAAAATTGCTGGAGGAGCAATCCTGTTACAGTATTTGGTTGGGAATCCTTATGAAGAAGTCCCCTAACTTCGGTTATCCCATACAATCCCGTATATATATATATATATGTTATATTATCTACACATATGGCTACGCTCCACGGAAAAAAATGCATAAAGCCTCAGAAGGACGAACAGCTACAGAAGCGGTGGACATTTGGGAGGTTTCCTATACTATATATATACACACCTACATAGTGATAAACATGATACATTCATGATCATTCATGGTTCTAGCCAATTGTTTTAGTGATTTACCAAGGGGAATGATCCTCCAACGGATTGAACCTTGAATTGAGGCCAGCTCGGGACTTGCTTCATCTTGGCAACTTCCAGGAACAGGCCATGTCAAATGTGGGTTGGTCTGAAGGTTGCGTACCCCCAATTCAGCAGATTATCAGCAGATGCTCATTCTTACCGTTGTCAAAAGGATTGAAATGGTAGTTTTTGGATGCATCATGATAATTCATGATATATGCATACACACATATATATATATATGTATGTATATCTATTCCAATTTTGGAATAGACACTATGTTGTTGTCCAGTTTCCCTCTTTTCCGGCCTAGAGACTTTGGGTGAGTTTAGCTTCCACAGCCAGGCCGCCGAATCCGATGTGCACACGCAGATCCTCTACAACCGCAGCTTGGCTGAGAGTTGGGTTTTGGGTATCAAGGCCCGCAGTAAGGCCGGCAATGGAGTGACATTAGCTCCTGGGATTTGCTCCTTGGGAAAATCACTTGAAATTTCCAGGCTTTATGGTAAAATCGCCATGAAATCATCGCATCCAGACCTGGGATTTGCTCCATAGCCTTGTCTTTGTAAATTCCCATGACAAGAATTTGAGGCAAAACATGCCACAAGAGAAAGCCTTAGTAGCAGAGCAGAGAGTCAAAATCCTGGAATGAAGAGATAGACATCAGCCAAATGATCCTCGTTTGGCTCACTGAAACCAAGCAGTTTCCATGCGTCAAATAGGCCTCTTGTCCTGCTTTCCAGGTGTCATCGCCCAAATCGGCCTGTGCGCCTTCCGCTTGGGAAAGATCACAGAGGCCCACAACTGCCTCATGGACGTGCCCTGGCTCTGGTTCCCTGATGCGTCCAAGAGTTCCGGAACTTTCCCTGTCGCTTCAACTGCTTGAGGTTTCGATATGTTTCAGCCATTTCCAGCCAGCTGCTACTGTACTACTGGCCCGTTGTAATCTTTTGATGGTCCCAATTCTCTGAATAGTGGAAGGGGCGGATTGTGTTCCACTGTCAGCAGCTCGCACTTCTCACACACTTGGGTTCGTACGAAAATATGATACCCTTAAACTTGATGGTTTGTCATTGTTTAACCTCATTTTCCCCATTAAGTATAAACATAATTTCAGGGGCCGTATAGCAGTATAAATACTCCATTTTTGGACACATTTGTATAATCTTATATTAGTTATCACTTCCAATTTTTGTTATTTTTGTTCCTAAGCCCAGTTTTGTTAAACCTCGCATGGCCCATGGCGAGGTGTGTCAGTACAACAAGGGCAGGGAGCTCCTGGCTCAAGGCCTCTCCTATGCCAAGAACATGGAACGAAGCCAGGAACAGGAACGGGCCGAGCGGCAGAGGCAGCTGCCCTACCACATGCACATCAACTTGGAGGTTCAGCGCCCAGCGGTCACAACTTGGAAATCTCAACTTTCAAGTGGTGAAAGATGTTGAGAACTTCAGGGAGATGTTCAATTGCCAGAATGCTGAGATGTGCTGGGTAATTTGAACAAGGACCAACATTTCGTGGGTTTCTGCGGTTTCACTTTCCAACATTTTCCAACCAAAAAAAATCCCGGGTCACCGCAGTCGCAGATGCCGCAGGTGCTGGAGAGTGCGCAGCACATCTGCGCCATGCTGTTGGAGGTGCCAAACATCGCCATGCAGGTGCGGGATGATTCTCTGTTTCCAGGTGGAGCTGCCCACTTTCTGTTGGAATATGTTGAAATAGGAACAAGACTAAGATGGCATCAACATGGACTTTCAGGTTGATTTTTCAGTGATGTTCTTCTGTTTCGACCATTGGGATGCCTATGAGGCCATCGATCCAAGCAACAAGCGGATCATTTCGAAAGTTTTGAGGCTGGATGGATCGCTGGATGATCGAGAGCTAGGGATTGCCATGGAGTAGTAAAGGAAGTCAGTGCTTTGGACTATTTGGAATGGATTGCGACATGGATACATATGGAGGTTTCCTGAAATGGAGGTACCCCAAAACGGATGGTTTAGAGTTTAGAGTTTAGAATGGAAAATCCATGAAAATCCTATTAAGATGGATGATTTGGGGATACCCCCACTTTAGAAAATCTGAAAATATTGTAAGATTTTTTCTTGTCATCATTTTGAGCCTTTTTTTTCCCGAGTTGGGGTTTTCTGCTTGTCATACCCAGGCGTGCATTGGAAGCTTATGACAAGCAGCAGTACTCTGGACCACCTGAGACCGCCAAGGACGGCCCCGGCGGGCCCCGGCGGGGGCCGGTTTTGGGCTTCGGATGTGACGACCAGCTGCGCCCCCCGAGGACTCCGTGGTGGCCGCTGCGAAGGATTTGCAACGAGGTGATTGGGCCAAGGTGCCAGTGGACCATGATGACACAAGCAATTTCTAGTGATTTAACATGATTTAACATACTTAATATGTATAATATATATTATATATATGGCAATATATATATATATAGAGTTAGATAGTATTAGATAGATATATAATGAAAATATAGTGAAATTAAATATATCAGGTGGATGTTCTGCTGTCAGCAGTGTATATATATATATATAATTATAATATATATATATGAAGAATACAATATATATATATACACACATATATATATACTAATGATCAGTAATGTAGATATGGATAGATGTATATACATGTGCATGACATATGATGTAAAGATCAAGAAGAGCTAAGAAAAGTGGGGGATATGGGAATCAAAATGGCTGGGGATAAAATCCTCGGACCAACAAATCTAGGCATACAACAACCGGATACAACCGGCGGATGTGGAAGATGCAACCAAGGGACCTCTCTCCTTTAGAGACACTCCATTCCACAGGCCTGCGCTCAGTTGGAGGGGCTGCAGCTTTGGCACCACATTGACACCAACCACCCAGAGAATGGGGAGAAGGTGTGGACGAGACCGCTGCGGGGGTGGAGCCCTTTTTGAGACGGTGAATCGTGCCTCAAACGCGTACTGGGGCAGATCCAAACTATATATAGGCAAGCTCAAAATAGACGGTTCACAAGGTTCACAAGGTTCACAAGGTTCACAAGGTTCACAAGGTTCACAAGAACAGCACAACTGTGCGAGTCCCTAGGTCTGACATTAACCATCCACAAAACCAAATCGCAGTTTTTTCCTTCACAGGATCCCCTGTGTCCCTTTTTATAGGTGAAAGCCATGATCACGGAGAAGATGAAGGTAGAGGCCTTGCGCAACTTGTCAGGTTAGGGTTTTGAAGCCAATTTATTGCACTTTTCATGAGACAAAATGATGATCAACCATCAAATCTGGCAGTACCCGGGTACCATCAGACAAATCCAGATAGCCCTCATAATTTCCCTTGTAGCTTTCCATCATGGACCTTCTTTTCCTGCAGGTTTCACTGGTCAATGTTGGTCGCTGCGTCACCTAGGAACCTACTTGTTCTCTTATGCCTCCATCTACGATGCCTTCCATCTGGACCAATTGGTTCAGATGTTTTCCCTGGATGAGCGCACGGTGCACTCCACCATTTCCAAGATGATGATCAAGGATGGCAATGGATGGCTTCGGGAAATGGAAACTACACATTCAACCCAACGGGAGGTATGGATCACTTCACACAGCACCCCTGGGTTTTCACCTGGAAATTCGTTAGCAGGACTCATGGGACATCACTGCCACCACCATGACCAGAACATAACCACAGGCTACCATTAGATTGGCATCCAATTACCCTCTGGTCATTTAACAGTTTGCTGTGGAAAACAGCAAATAAATAGATGATTTATGATGATTTAATGATTTACCTATTTAAGATGGTGATTTTATAGCAAATCAACCAGAGGGCAACATCATTTTTTGGTTGGTCAACTCCAGTTATATAAATCATATTAATTCATAATATATATAAATCCATTTAAATCCCATGAAATCACTATAAATCACCACTAAATCCCATTAATTCATATTAATTCACCATGAATATTTTGAGCCATCTCCACTCTCTCCAGGAGGAGATCACCGCTTTCTGGGACGAGTCTTCCAAATATGTCCTGGTGCAACACGTGGAGCCGTCTCCACTGCAACGTCGCGCGCCCGGTGCAACGGGGGGGTTAGCGGTTCGCCCGCGCCAAAAGGTGCTGGAAGATGTCCTAAATATGACATCCACCATGGGAAAGCTGGGGAAGATGGAGATTGGAATCTGATATGAACTGCAATCTGAGATGTGTCGAAGAATTTCGAGGACGATTGATAAAGCATATGGGATCTTATGGGTATGTCTGAGTCTGAAGCTTGGGTATATCCCACAATTGCAATGTGTGTTGCAATTTTTCTGCGGGAAAACAACATGAACAATCCAAGTTTGAGGCATACTATTGTCAGACAAACCGCAAGAAATGTGGCAAGTAACTGCAAAGGAAAGTGTTGTTCGAAAGTCAAAAAATACAATGCCCAGGTGCGAACTCGCAATTTGTGGTGACTACCCATGGGTGTCCAAGAATAGGAATTGCCCCGAAGCCACCATTGTTTTACCTTCTCCAAAAACGCACCTTTGGGACGTGAGCTTCCCCAGTGACACCCTTATCTACAAATTCACACGAAATCCCATGGAACAATGGTAGATACATGTAGATACTATATCAAGTCGCCAATCATTTCCTGTTTCAAGAAGATGTTCCGACTGAATATGGGGATTTGCAATTGCCATGCTTGACTACGGCGCCGCCGGTGAAAAGCGTCCTCTTGCTTTGAGGCCTTGCCATTACACTTGCAGAGCGTGCTGTGCAGGCCAGCTTTCGAACGAGTGGTCCGCAGCTGCACCAAATACCTGGGTATTTGTGATGTCAACCGATGGGAAATTTAAGGAATTTCAGACGTTTAAACACCACCTGCGAATTTGAAGTCACTGTACAAACATTTACAAGTCCGCAAGCAAACCAGTCTGGAAATGCTGCTTGTGATTAGTTGAAGCCTCGCCAGCCCAACAAAATCCCAGAATTGGTGGGAAAATCTGCAGGCCACCCCCTATATATATTTGGGGCATTTTGGGGCCAAAACCAGCCTCTACCCCATCTGATGTTGACTTCGGCAGGCGGTTGAAAACAATGAGCGCTTGGTGGATTTGAAGTCGGGCGGATTCGCCTTCAAGGCGTGCTTGCGAGCGGCAAGCGGTTGGCGACCCGATGGGTGGTCTTGGATGTTGTTGTGTAGTTGTAAGGCAATCTTGTAAAGACCAGATGGGTATGGATCAATACCTATTAATACCATTTTTAGGGGAATGAACATCCATTTACCAACTATTTTGATGTTCACCAGGGGTACAAGGTTTTGACACACTGCCAGATAATACCAGTAGGATCAGATGATAACAACCAAAATTTCTAAATGGTCTTCAAGATGGACCAAAACCGCAGAAAAGGGACACAGGCTTGACCCACACTGGTTGCAAAGTCGCATGACTACCTTTACTGGCTCAAATCGAAAAAAGATCGTTCAAACATTTTCAAGCTCCATGCTTTTCCACCTGAGTTCGGAGATGAACCCCCATAGCAACATATTAGTTTCTTTATGTTCTCTGAAAATAGGGTACTCCATTCCATCCATTGGTGAACATCATCATTATCCGTTTTAAAATTGCCATAATTTGGGGATATATCTGCCATTTTGAGAGAGAGAGACACACACACACAAGTATTCTTGGCTACATATATCCAATAATTCTACCCCGAGTATATCCCCCTTGTTGGGTGAACTCCCCTGATTTTCAAGTCCCAAACCCATTTAATTATATTATTTCTGCTCATATATCTCCATGATCTCTGCTCCAAGCTGGTCCAATCCTCCCAGATCAAATTCTTTTGGGCCAGGACGGTGCCCGAGCACAGCCGGGCCTGGCCACGGAGGCCAAAGGAAAAGGCCGCATGGGAAAGGGCTTTGACATGAAGGTGCCCAACCGCCTGGGATCAAGGGCCATGAAACTTGCCCTGGGATTTCTGCAGAAAAATATAGGTGGAAATTGGAAGTTTGGTTCTGGTACACATTCACTGAATGGAACCATTAGCGGCTGGATACCTTCCAGCAATCAAGGCAGGAAATCGCATGAAGTTCCGGTTTTTTCCCATTATATACCAGGATTTACCAGGCGGGATTATATTGGAACATATTGGAACTATTCCCAATAGATAACCATTCCTCAACCGACTGCAACTATGATCGACTGTGCAGGGCGATGCGAAGGGTGCCAAGGGAAAAGGCCGCGGAAAAGGCTGGGATTCTTGCGGTGTCAACCTGTATCTTGCGCTTTGAAAACAGGATGTGACAGGGGTAAAACTTCAGGGCTTTTGTGGGAGGTGTTTATTCACAGGTGGAAGCATTACAGTAGAAACATGTAGAAACCTACTCGTACCACTTTGGAGCTTTCTGCCATGTTTCACATGCCACGCCCAGATGTCTCTATGATAGGATTTGATCCACTCCACTACTTAGATGGATCCTTTGGACCAAAAGTGGAACAACTCCCAGACTTGGTTTTTCAGGGAACATTTACAGGGCCCCCGCCACAATGGTGAAAAACAATGGTTTCAACCTGTTTCAATCGCCATTTTGTCGCTGAATCGCAACACGACAGGAAGCTTCGCGGGTCAGCCCATGCGCCGTGCCGCGGGCTGGGAGAATGCCCGTGCCGGTGCCCTACGGGGTACACAGCGCGGGTGGTCCACTGGGATCAGGGCGTAAGGCGGGGAAGTTTGGTGGCGCCAGCGGTGTTTCCTGTCACCAAACTATGGTCACTTCTATGGCTGAGTGCAATGACAAAGGGTCCTCCAGCCTCAAAAATGATTAGAGTTCGGACGTCTTTGGCTTTAACAAAGGTATTGTCCTAGTCCCATCTTAGGGAGCCTTCAACGGCCTCGGCCCTGGGAAGATGGTGGCTGATCCTCGCAGGCCACAGCAGATGTCTTGTAAGCCCCTGACCCAGCAGCGTAATCGGTGGCGCCACGCTCAAGTTCGTCGCGCACGCCTGGCTCGATAGAAGCATTGCTGATGGCACGAGAGAGTGCCCGAAATGGTTTGGCAATGCTTACTTAGACTCAGCTTGAGGCATGCTCAATGTGAAACAGATGAAATAGTCTGCACTGATATGCACTCATATGCTTAACATGATATAAAGCTTCAACCGTGCTCAATTGCTTAAACGAAAATATGCATTAAACAAATCATTGCAGATCATTGCAGGTTATCCAATCATGGGCCAAACAGGGCGTGTTGGTGCCTTGAGGCAGTATTCTGGATTCAAAATCCATGCAATGTTGTAATGCGTGGATTTCTTCAATTCGTCCACTGTAGTGACGACTTGCTGACCACAGTTGTTCAGGCTGAATTTGCCCCAACGCCGAGTTGTTTCGTAGTTGGAAAAGGGCTGCTGCTTTGAAACATGAGATGCATGTTCATTCGACAAATATGATGCTACTACGCGTCATAGATTGACGATTTGTATCCATTCACTAAACCTGCAAGTTTTTCGGCGGTTCAGTCCAAACTGCTTGCGCAAAAGTGTCAGTATTGGCATGGAAGCCGTTATTCCTGTCCTGCAGCATTCCAGCCTTGGAAAGCAATCCTCGTTTGTCAAAGTGTTCCAGACCTGAAGTGTGACTGATTGGGTTGTAACTTCGAGAACCGTTAAAAAGAAAAAACATGAAAAAACCAAAACAGAAGTGTTTGGGATGTCCACCTAGCTCTGTTGGGTGGTCTACATCCCCCATTTTTGCCATTTTGAATGACTATCATTGGCTATCATTCATCTAACCCACATATCCCAGACTCTTTGCCGACAATTCTGGGCCCTTTCTGGGTGCGCAGTTGATATAGCTCGGATCGTGTGATGATACTCGTAATTCCAATTTCCAAAGTCAGTACTGTACCTCCCCACTGGGGTATCAAATGAGCCGGGCTACATATGTAATCATATATACGTATATATATAATCATATATACGTACATATATATATATATCATTATTATACACACACATATATATATATATATCATAAATGGATAGCATCCTCCCAAAAAACTCAACTCGGGGTTGATTCACCCCTGGGTTCACCAGCATGCCCTGCAGCCATGAAGCGCCCTGCCGCGCGCCCTTTGCGCCGCCCTGCTGGGCATGTGGCCAAGCGGCCAGCACGAAGGTGGCCAGTACCCCAATAGCTGGATGGTTTATTTCATGGACAATCCCAGAAAAAGATAGCTGGATGATAAAGGGTAGGAGTAGGACACCTCCATTTGGAATATGACATGTAAACTTCATGGAACTTATAAACCTTATAAATACATAGAACTTATAAATACTTATAACACTTATGTCACCAGCAAGATGATTTTGCCGAAACATGGAGATTCTCCAAATGGGGAAATGAGGATGACGCCTGCGGAGACCGTTTCGACCTCTGCGCCTCGGCCGTGGCACCCCAGGGGATGTCCTTGAGCTTCGAAGCGGTGTTGATGGGTACCAGTGGCTGGAGCATCGTTACACGACTGATCTGGGGATATCTGGGGGAAACTGTTGCAGATGTTTATGGATGTTTATGGATGTTTATGGTATACTATTGGTATACTATTTCCATCTATTTCCTACTTCTTTAAAAAGTCCCTAAGCATGTATCACTGTATCACTGGTTGGGAGTGGTTTGGGGAAGCTTGGGGATGTCCAGGGTGTCTTCCTTCCAATTTCGGACAACACTGATACGTTCAATATCGAAAGACGACGGCATCCCGTCTTTCTTTTGGGGAAGATCCTTCGCAATTGCAGCCATGGAGGATAGATACTGTACCAGAATCATTTAACTTGGATATATTCTAGTATTCAAGTATAGACGTCTGGAAATCTCCATTTTTGATGGACAAAACATCCGTATATCCATCACATGCGGGACCAAAGTCCATGTCCCGGTTAGATTGCCAAGTGTACCTGAACCTTCTACAAGCCAAACGTGTCAATGGATGCCCTTCCAATGACCACTGCTTTGATGTAGCTAAGGGGTGCGTTATCCATTTAAAACCATGGGGCGGGGCAGCTAACCCTGAAAAACTCACTACCTGCCCTTGAGTCAACAAGCCAGTCAATGGACACTTCCTTATTTGTACCTGATTTGACATAGCAAAAATTGATGAACACACCAGATGTTCATCCCACAGGCCATGGGATCCCATGGGAGGCCCCCATTCATGGCGTCATGGAACTGCCCGGTGGCGAAGTTCTGCGGGGAAGCTTTCGGGCTTCTTGGCGGATCATTGGTATATCGCGACCATGGGATGAGCATGGGATGACCATCATCTTATCCAAACCCAATATTTTTTGGATATATTTTTTGATATTTTTTGTATAGATACAGAAAAGGTGATGCCTCGGCTGTCAGTCACAGACGTTTTTAAAGCGATACACTGGACTATTCAAAGTTTTCATCAGGATGGACTTCCGCATGGAGAATGCGAGTTGCTCGGCAGATGGCGACCTGCGCCGAGATTGGTGGCCCGGTGATGTGCGGAGCTTGTGACGGCCAACCCCTGGTAGGACGGTGACCTTTGATTTTGTTGGTTGAAACAGCCGACGCTCAGGTATTTTGACCCGGAAGACAAGACGACGCTTGTTGCTTGGCATGGCCACGGGGGCTGAGTGGCTGAGCCTACCTCCCAGAACCCAGGACCGTGGGTTGGCAAACCAATTTGTTGTTTGGGAATCTAAGACCTAGGGTGTTGCAATGGTCCACAGATAGAACGTGATAGAACGCACCTGTTTTTTGTGACTTGGAGACTTCACACCAGTAGATAAACTGTCCTACTTCCTGAATGAGTATAGGACCAGGACCACACCCAGTATAGGTCGGTACATTGTGGCCCGCATACCATGTAGATGTGGACGCGTCCAAAATTTGACACCCAAAGTGAGAAGTTTGGGTACTTGAAGAACTCTAATTAGGCTATTTGGATCTATTTTGAAAGATAGGAGTTAGGAGTGATAGGAGTCATTGACTTCATACTTTCAACCACATACTATTTAGATCTATTTAGTGACTAGTCTTTTTTCAACCTTTGGCGATATTTCTAGTGTTTCTAGTGACTGGTATCAAACAACCACATACTTTTTTTGGTGATATCTTGTGACTATTGAACTTCCACCATCCAACGTCTTCGAAGGTTGGCATCTATGACTGTGGGCAGCTGAATGGACCTGCTGTGTGCCTCGGTGCCGATGTCTGGGATTTCCAGGGATACAATGGAGTCTCAGTTTTTCTTTTCTTAAACGAGATCTAGATGATCTATATATTTTGTATTATTTTGTGATATATATTATATATCTATTTTATGATATTATCTATTTTATGATACTATATATATAAATACACTTTATGATATATATATATTTTAATGATATATATATATACACATTACAGTATATATATATGGGATATAAGCCGCTGACTAAGTGGCACATCCAAGTTGGGAACTTTGAGGGATAACTGGGATAGTTGGGTTGATGATTTAAAAGGATGATTTCGAAATTGACCCTATCGAACACTTGGAAGCAAAAGAGCGACAACAATCCAATAAGGTACCTTATACATTACATTATCCTGTAAAACTTACATACCTTAAAACATCCTGAAACCAAGTCTGGGAGTAATGAATATCTCCAAACAGTGTGTACCGAATGTGCCAGTTTCTGTTAAAATGAGGTTGGTTTGTCATTGGCTTTACCAATTCTGTTGAGCCATGCCACGTTGGGGGGATAAGCAGATCCAAAACATTTTGAGACCTCCCACCATACTTCATGTGGAAAAAGCACACCCTATCATCCATGTCCGATATATATATATATATATCATATGTATAAATAATATTTATCATTTATATCATAATATGTTTTCTATGTTCATTTGCTTGGTGGCTTCAAATATGTTTCATCCTGTTCAATTTGCCTCCTGGACTTGTCTTAGACAATGCGGTCAGCTCTGGGACGCAGCCCAAAATTGTTGGTTTCTGCAATGTACTGCTGAACATGGTCCCAAGATGTCCGTATCATTTTTGACCCATGTCCATCAAAGCTATTGAGATTAAATTACATCCCACTTTTTGTTGTTCAAATCCTTTCAAATCCAGGTACTCTTGCCTTTCTTGGCTGGTCATATTCTACAACATCTTCATTATATACCAGTTTATAACCTCATTTTTTGCTAAAGAAAATCCATAAAACATGCAGCAAATAAGGAAAACCACACACACACCTGTTCCTCCGCTAAGGCAGTTGGATGAGACGCGGTCGCGCTTGGTCTTCCGTGGCAGCTTCCAGAAGGATCTGCGCGTCGGGCTGGCGGAGGTCTATGATGACTACGGCGGATGTTCCTGGGTCATGGCACTGGGAGAATGGGATAAGGATGGGATAAGGATGGCTTTTAATTACAGTATGTTGAATGGGATTTATAACCAACTAGACCTGGGTTTCATTATATGGGTATGGATCAATACCTATTTATACCATTTTTAGGGGGATGAACATCCATTTACCAGCTATTTTGATGTTCACCAGGGGTACAAGGTTTTGACACACTGCCATATGTTGAATGGGGTTTATAACCAACTAGACCTGGGTTTCATTATATATCCTTAATTTTTATCGGGTTTATAACTTGGGAGACCCAAGGCCAAAAGCCTACCATTTGCAGATTGTATTTACACCCCACATATTTCTGTTATTTTCTGGTCATACCGAGAATGGTTTTTGTTGGGTTTGCCACATTAGCCCAGTCGATAGGTTACTGTGGGGAGTTATGAAACTACTTGATTACCTGGTGAATAAGGTTATTATTATGAAGAATAATGAATGGGAACCCCCTTTACCGACCAGTGGAAGTAGAAAAAACACAGCAACATCATGTTGGATCAACATTTGGTAAACCATGGTAAACCCGACAATCAATACACCATCTCCATCCATCTCCAATAGTAGCCTAAATGGTTGGCATTGGGCCATTGGGTTTCAGTCATTTCTTTCAGCATTAGCATGAGGGGATTCCAATTTTGACCTGTTCCTATGTCTGTAAATCATGGATTTAGTGACACAGACAGACCACATGGAAAATTTGCGGA